ATCCACATTAGAGCATCCACATTAGAATAGCTATGCATCTAGTAAAAACCTGCTCCGCTCCGCTAACCGGCCATTCCAATTATCGTCCCAGTATTTCTCCAGAAACCTACTGTAATGCGCACATGTGCAGCTTGGCTCTGACCACAATGACTTTCCACCAAGCAAATGATTATTTCAGCAGTGGAGCATGGTTTTGAGGACTCTCTTTATTAACACAGGTCTATGGTGGTGCCAAGTCCACACCGGAGCTCATTACTGGACTAAAGGTTAACGAAGGCTTAACGTCGGGTTTTCTCATTACACTGGGATATTCCTATGTTGATAAATGGCAAAACTCACATCCGCTTTTTATTAACTCTAGTCCAGCTGACTTATGAAATCCTGGCTTTACAGAAAAGTCTTTGAAATGAAACGAAAAAAGAATGCCTGCTTGACTTCCAGCTATGCCCTCAATCATATTTAATAATATTATTATAATGATGATAATATTTATAATAGTGTTAATTATATTATTATTATATACAAATACATAAAATATAGAAAGTTTTACTTTTTTTAAATTCCCAGTACATGATTATTTTACTACAGTCCACTGTTGAAAATGGGTTTTAAAAAAAAAATCATTTTTTCTCCTCTATCATTACTGTTATCCTCATCATAATCATTATGTTTTACATTTACGTTACCCTCCTTCCCCCTCCATTCCATGAATTTGCTCACCCTTTTGTCCCCTATGTCTACCTCTGCCTGCATTCACTGTAAAACCTTGTCTTCACACTTAATGTGCAAAACATATGTATGTGTGTTTGTTTATATGCATGTACGTGTGTGTGAATGTATGTAAAGGTGTGTGTGTATGTATGTTTATGTTTACATATACAAATGTGTGAAAACTAGTATTCATGCTTATACACTTGTTTTGCTAATAACAAAAGACGTAAACAGAGTATTCTAGCTGTGGCTATGACCGGTGACACATTCTTCTCGCCGCTGCTTTTGGGCCCCTCTTCAAGGCCAGATTTTGCCACGGGGATTAATGGTGTGGCTAATTGATAGACACACAGGCGGAGTGGATTAAGTCCCTATCCAGTCCCCAGTGGCTCTTTTGCCTCTTCAGCTGACTAATTGAAATCACAGGAAGACACTGCGCATTGCTACGCGAGCTATAGTCTCATACTCAAGAAGAAAATGAAGTGATATGCCAACAATAAGGTCAAAGATTAACTGCTTCAATCCCAGAAGAGACTTATCCACACAGAAGTCTGATTAGGCTGTTGAAAAGGAGGAAATGCAATTATTCAGATTAAGAAAACCAAGCATTGCACAAGCCGTGGAGGAGCATTTTAATGTGAGTGTGAGTGCAAGAAGAAAGGCAAAAGAAGTAGGCTGCTTTGGGTGTGTTTTTTAGAAGGTGGGATAAATCGGCCTCTTGTTTCCAAACGGAAAAGAAGGAGCACATAAAGCACCAGGATTATAGTGTTTCGTTATTTTCACCTGATAAAAAGAATAACAATCTGTAAGTGCATCTTCTGGCATGGTAATAACATAAAAATCTGGAACATAATCTCATATTTTATTTGGCCAGACTGGTCTTGGACTTAAACAGGTCTGAATCAGGTCTAGAGTAGGCCAGGATTAGACTTGGAAAATAACACTGCAGCACTGGATCAAGTTTCTTCATTAACACATCCCAATGATAACACTACATGTATGTACTTGTTGATAGAAGTGCCTTTTGAATGCACTTTGGTGCTGAACTCACCTCTTTGCTGGACACAAGCAATAAAAATGCGCTGGTTTTAGTTTAGAGCACTTTTTTTTCTGTAATTTTGTGAATCCAATCACTATCAAAGAATGATCTAAGAAAACATTGAATTGCTAATTTCCTATAGAGTTCTATCGGCACCTGCTCCTCAACTGAAAATAAACCACATGAACACAACCTATTGCTCTGAAAAGAAAACTGCTTTTTGTTAATCCTTTCCCAGAAAAGTTGAATTCAAAGAGCATATCAAATATTCCTTGTGTGTGTCTGTTGTAAAAACTATATTTATAAAGAATAAACTTGAAAAGTTAAAACCACAACCCAATCCCCATGTTGCTTCTCCTAGCCTTGAAAAAATAGAGGTCAGACTAGTCTTGTTTATTTTCTTAAAAGCGCACATCCAGTATCTATGAATTGTTTCTTTACACTCATAACAAAAGAAAGGATTGCACTGTGAGCAGGCAGAACACACTCTCCCAGGACGTGAACCGTGTGAGTTTGGAAACAATCTTAACAATAGAGATGCTCCAAATATGCTTTTCCAAAACCAATACTTAGGCTTCAATATCTGCAGGTGTCCATTTCCCCTCCTCAAATCTCTGCTAACTCATTACACGTTGGTCCAATTTTGTTTTAGACTAGCAGCTGATCCTGTTAAGTATCGACAGAATTACCATATATCAGCGTTTCCCATCCAGGGGTCAGTGGACCTCTGGTGGTACGCCGGGGATTCACATGATATTCTGTTGATGGAAGCTTTAATGCATGGGCTCCTATGGCATGTTATACATCTGTTTGAAGCTACTTTTCTCAAGTAAACAGCCATATCCTGCAATGTATTCCAAAAATTGACTCCAAAACTCAATAGGAAATAAATATAAAAAAACAAACAATTGGAATATCAGTCTACTATATACATACTAAATTTGGTTCAGTCCAAACACAACAAAAATATATTCTGAATAATAGATTCAAAATAACCACAGATGTATAACATGAACCAGTCAACAAGAACTTTCCTTTGGTTCAAACCTACTCAGGCTGTACTTGAGTTGGAGTGGTCGTGCCCTAACTAAGCTGTCCGGGGGGTACACACAAGGGTGAAACACTGCCTACTCAATATTATCACCCGTTATCATCAAACCGATACATTAAATTCCAATATCGGCATTGATATCCATTGCTAGTGTTGTATCAGTGCATCCCTACTTAAAGACAATAGATAAATAATAATAGCAGACTGTAAATGCATTAAAAAGGAAAATAACCTTATGGTAATAGATTCCATAATTAATAAAGAAACCTGGCATAAAAGAGCAGCGACATCATCAATACTTCCAAAAATATGTATCTTACAGTAATTTTATTTCCCCAGTGTCTTTGTACAGAGTATATTCTTCTTGTTCCCGCTGACTAGTTTCACATTCTCACCACATAGTAACAAGTGTTTACACATTTTTCGAGGAAGAACGAAAAGAAAAAATCATGCACCTTTTCAATACTTTTGTGGCCGATTATAAAAAACAATGGGAATGTTCAATTAAAAAGCGTCCACGATTTTTCAATTTTCCTTCTAAAATCTCTTCTTCTGTCTGGCTATAGTCAGATCATGCCAACGCAAATGGAGATATAGTGTTCAGGCAAGTCTCTTTGTGAAGGCTTCGGAAAGTCCATTGGGAAAAAAACGCCATTCTCCACAATAAACAAACATTTTTTTAATATTGTAAAAAAGTTGTGGCATATGTAAAGTCGTGAGAGGAGGTCCATAGAGGGATATTGCCCCAGTCACTGTTGGCTTCTTCTGGGCCAGATGGAGAGTCCGTTGCCCACTTGAGCACGCCTGGAGCTATAAGACATTGTAATCGATCCTGAGAAGAGCAGGATACAAAAAACACACCACAAAAGGCACTTTATAAAACGACAGTGCTTCTGTTTGTAAGGAAATTCAAGTCAACACAGAGAAAGAGATCGAGGAGTCCGCTTGAAAACATTCTCTTCTGTTTGAGACTAAAGCAGAAAATTGCTCTGCACAATCAATAACAGGACTGCAGGAAGATCTACAACAGTTGAAATTGCTTGAATCCTAAATTTTCTCTACGTTTCACGTGAACTAAAGTTCTGAGAAGCTGGTTTGAACAATGTTTTGAAATGAAAGAAGATGTATAATGCGTATATCTAACTATTGTGTGCATAATGGTTATAATTAAAATCACAAAATTCAACAAAAAGGGGTTCAAGCTGGAGTTTGCAACCCCCAAAAAATGGTACAAAATACAAGAGTTAGGTTGACTTCTGACTTGCTTTGGACTCGGTCACAGCTTTTTCAGACGGAGAAGTGATCAAGAGAGGACCGCCCCCATTCTGCCAATCAGCTCTCATTCCCAAAGCGTCAAATAGTGACTCAGTGGCCTCCCTCTTATTTTCTAATAAAGATAAAGACAGTATTTTGTGGTTGTGGCCTGATTTGTTTACATCATTCTGTTTGTAATGGGACCAAAAAACAGTTAAACTACAAAAGTTAGGGCCACCCGTTTTAAGTGACCAGTTTTGAACCTTCCCCTGGTATTACATAAAAAAATCCTCCCCATGAACACATGCTCTGCTAGACCATGCATCCAGTTACAGAGCAGTTGGTGTATTGCTATTTTTCTATTTTTAATCGTAAATGATCGCTTTTTGACGGTCAATCTCTCTCCCCTTCCCCCGGCCTGAACCTGTGACACAAGAGAAATCTGTCTTATTATGTAGTAGATTGTCAGCACAATGACAGAACTGCAGGAGAGGAATTATATTCAGGGATCATTACATTAAATACACACGACTAAAATAAGCTTTGAAGCTGTTGAAAGTTAATTTAACACGCAACTCATATGTTGAGTGACGCATGAAACACGTCAATCAAAAACATTAGTGTCTTTTTATAATTTAAAGCAATTTCAACTGCTGTGAATATTTCCATTTGCAGAAAAAGCACATATTTCACAACCAGTGACCGCATCGATGTATCCCCAACGAGTCCATAGCGGTGAGACAGAAAAAAAAGAAGAAAAAAAGTAAACCACTACAAATTTGCCACTAACAAAATGATAAAGCCGGAATAGATTTGCAGCAGAATTCCTACACGCGCACAGGCTGAGAGTGGCGAGTCCCGAGACGGCCCGTGTCGAGGGTCCATTCCTGGGTCATCATGATCCTATAGAAGGAAGCCGGTCCTCAACCTGTCCCAGCACCACTCTCAGTCCTCCTGGCCGCCTCCGTACAGGTCGGCCAACTTCTTGAAACGGGGGCCCCAGTCGTTGAGGTAGTCATAGTCCTGTTCGCCCGAGCTGCTGGAGTTGAGCGAGCTGACGGAGCCCGCAGTAGAACCGCTGCCCTCGTAGTCGAACACCAGCAGAGAGTCGTACGGAGGAGCTGTGGGATCGTTGTCTGCAGCCCGCAAGCCCTGCACAGACCAAGAATGGGGTTATACAAGAAAACACAAATATGAAAATGGCCTTGAAGTATTTTTGGACCTTAAAACAATAAATTAGATAGGATAAGATTAATTACAAAACTTGAGCACATGGGGATACGGGCTATGGCTCTTTTGCAGTCACGTGACCAAAGCGCATCTGGGCGCCATACTGAGGGATAGCAGCAGTCGATCAAGCCGTCAGAGTGCAGTCAGCTTGTTTATTTTTTCAGCAAAATGAACATTCAAAATAAGAACAAGAAGAAGGCTTACAGGAAGAAACTCAACAAGGATTAGCAATGTAGATCTATATGAGTTAGCCGCCAAAGCACAGTCTAATGATGCCAGCACTATTTCCACCAACAACAAATATGGACATTGTTAATTATCTTGTGAATGGAGTCAGTGCAGATACTGTACATTCAACCAGAAGGATCTGCCATTATCACAACTGTTTCACTAGAACAGCCTTTTACACAACACCGACGAGCAATATTTTGGGGAAAACATAATTCAAATAAGGAAAAAAATGGCACATATGATTAGGGAATAAAATAAAGTGGCACATAAAATACGGAACTGTCCCATATTTTTGAAAAACTATGTGCCTCCTGTATTGAATCAATAAGGGACAGCTTTTTCAGAGTCGTCTTTAAACTCACTGCATATCACACGCACGACACACACACAATAATCACACTTTCAGCGTCTACCTTTTGGATCCAGGTCTATCGATTGGACACCCCATAGACTGTGTCCAGCCGATAGACCATTGGACGTATCGGGCAATACCCGTAAGGCTGATGCTCATATTTGTGCAAGAAAGGTACTGGTATCACACAGCAGCAGTGTGGTTTCACAGGAGCAGTTGACTACTTAAACCAACTTTACACAAAACTTTGATTCTTAAAACCCACATCTAACAACATAGAACCATCAACATCTCGCCTCAAATTGCATTAAAAGTGACATGTGTCTTAATTTGTTCGTATTTAAACTTTCTACACAACTCACAGACTTCATGTCTGCCATCTTGGATTGCTTCGGCTGCCGTGAGAAGCGCATGCGCAGGTTTGCATTAGATCATAAACAGCGGCTCATCTCGACGGGCAGACCATTTAACCGGTGTTCTGTCGAGTTGGTCTGCCCGTCGCCAGTTTGCGAGTTGTGTAAAAAGTTTAAATAAAACAGGAATTAATAAACACATGAATTTCACTTTTAATGCAATTTGAGCCGAGATGTTGATGTTCCATGTTGTAATATGTGGGTTTTAATAATCAAAGTTTTGTGTAAAGTTTGGTTTAAGTAGTCAACTGCTCCTGTGAAACCACCATGGATCTATTATAATAACTGGATAGGGTATTACTAGCTTGTAGCTGAAAAACTCATGTGCTCGGGGGATTCTCGCGGTACTGCAGACTAGACCAGACTAAATTCACGTGGGCTACCCAGAAATTTTCCCCATAGAACTCAATGCATATTAAAACAGCTCAACCTCAGCTGACAGAGAACCTACAGCTTTCATAAAGGTCGGATTTTGTGGGGATTTTAGTGTCCCTTGTCATCCTGAACGTTTTTTTCTTCTTAAATCCTTCGGTTTTGTTTAAATCCACACTTTACTGCCACAAAATCTGCTCGTCTGGCTCTCGCTCTAACTCCCGCTCTGATGAACTGCTCTGATTGGTCAGAGCGCGGCCGAGCCCCACTGTGCACGTGCGTGAGACCCGGTGTGAGACCCACACACGCGTGTTTGGCGCAACGCATTATGGGAGATCATCCACTGCGCAGAACCGGGAGGACCAGACGATGCCCAAATACAGGCGAGTTTCCCATAGATCTTTGCGAGTTTCCCATAGATCTTTGAGAGTTCCAGGCGACTTCCGCTAATCTTTCAGCCCCCATGCCGTCACAAAGCGCCACTGAGCACAACCATTCATTTGAATAGGGCGCCATCTTGGATCGCCGGGGCTTGGAAACCACAGTGAAATGACATAGGCCGATGACGATGGCGCGTCCTGTGGCTAAGTCAACAGCTAACAGCTTCCAACTTAGAATTTGGTTATCATTTCCATTATCAACCCAACGGGCCAGGCGGGTTGTCGACTGGGCTGTTAGCTGTCGTAAAATTAAGTACTGTAGGCCGCAGCTCAACTCGACAGGAAAGGTGTTGCTATCACACAGAAGCAGTGTGGTTTCACAGGAGCAGTTTACATGTTCTCCCCGTGCCTGTGTAGGTTTCCTCTGGGTGCTCTGGTTTCCCCTACCACTAAAACCATGTATAATAGGCCTGAATGGAATTAATGGAGTTGAATGGGACTTTGATGCACCGTGTGGAGAGAATGGAAAACTATATGGTTTCTGAACATTCTAAAGCGCTTTGGGTGAACTTGGTCTGTAAAATGCGCAATATAAATAAACCCTACCTTACTTGCAGGCAGGCAGTCACTTACTCACAATGTCAAATCATTTATTATAGTTTTTAAGGAAATTATTAATTCTTGTTAGGGTATAGTCAAACTCAGGCTGTTTATTTCATTACATATTTGACTATGGATTTGTTTTATTTATATGTAGTCAATAAATAACATTCTAAAAACTGTGAATATGAAATTCCATGATTTCTGTGTAGATTGAAATTAAGACGAAAAAGTGCTCTACCCGATCCACCCAATTGGTGGATCTTCTTTTTCTGTTCTCAAGTTGGCAAACCCACATATGATGGTTACTGGACAGGTCGTTCGTTGGTAACGAAACGCAATTGTTGTCATCCCCTCAATATGGCGCTTGAACCCATGCGTGACGGCATTTGCAAGAAAGCCATTGTATTGAATTGACCTATTTGGAAAACAGACAACAACATGTGATGTTTAGAATAGTATGCAAATTATTGGACTTCATTGATCCAGCTGGTTAACATTGTTCATCCATTAACAGTCCACTGTGGTAAAAAAGAGCTAAAAATAACCGAAAGAAAACAACAGTGATTGCTGTTGGCACTAGGAGGAAAAACACAGACCTGGCAACTGCCAGAAGCTTTTATTTGAACTAAACATGATTTGAACCCAAACATATTTAACATAACTATCCAGGAAACCAGTTATAGAAAACTACGAACAGCAGTCATGGTAAGAGCAATTTATTTTTCTACAAAGCAAAAACTGAGTTGGACAAGTCATTTTTAAAGTGATGCTCCTGCTCTGGACCCGACGGCTAGCGTTAGCTCACTGTTAGCATCATTGTTATTGTCGCTTTTAGCTTCACAGCTAGCATAACTGATAACGTCACTTTTAGCATCACTGTTGGTTTCATTGTTACTGTCACTTTTAGCATAACTTTTAGCTTCACCGTTAGCATCACGGTTAGCATCACGGTTAGCATCACGATTAGCATCACCAGAGGATCTTACTCTAGCTAGTTGATTGTAGGTGAAAGTCATTAACGTGATAAGGACTTTATTTTCTTATCAGATGAAGAGAGCTGTAACCATGAAGATAAGTAATACTAACTTTAATATAGTGAATAATAATGATATTTTTGTCCGAAGGAAATGCCATCCTGTGACAAACTAGCCACAATTCCGCCTGAGGAGTTGGGACTGCATGGCTCAGGTTTGAGTGTGGACAGTGATATGGAGGTGGGGGCCTCTTTCACAGGGGACCACACAGAGTCTGTAACTTTGTGTCTGGACCACAACGAACACACAAAGGACCTTCAGGATCAAAGTGATCACAGTGGATTCCAGAGCTATAGCAGTGCACACAGTGGATCCCTGTGTGATAGCAGTGCACACAGTGGATCCCTGAGTGATAGAAGTGATCACAGTGGATCCCTGAGTGATAGAAGTGATCACATTTGGTCCTCCAGCGATGAACATGAGGAACATGATCGTCAGCAATTTTCACAGGTAAAATCTTGAACTCTGATTCATATTTGACTAGTAATTACAGTGCAAACAGTTGTTTTGAATCAAATATTAATATAATCAGTTATGATAAAAAAATATTGTTTTTCCCATTATTATTCAAATTAAAATTCAGTATATGCCTGCAGAAATTGTTTGTCACAAAGAATTGGCCCTAAATGTTAAATCAATGTTTGTAAGATTTGTTTGTGAATACTGATACACACATTCATTATTCATATAGTTTGGGTTTCATGCAAAACACAACTTTTTTGCCAGTTTGATTTAAGATCTTGATCTGTTCTTCTAACCATGATTTACAATTATTTTTTAGTACGTCTCTTATAAGGAGATGAGGAGCCTCAACAAAGGTTTTCTTGAGTTCTTCATGGCGTTTGCCTCTTTGAAAAACCAAGTTGAAAGAAGCGAGGTGTTGATCTTCGCCATAATTGAGAGGTGAGCAGATTTATACAGTTGTGAATTTGATTACATGTTACTATTTTGGTTTGGAACTCTAAAATGTAATCTGAATATCAAACTGAACCCTGAACAGAATTCAATACTGTTCTGAAAACCAACCTTTGTATATCAACATATACATACATTCTGAATATATTTTCTGCTACCATTCTTTCCATGTCTGAATGCCCCTGGGCTTGTTAAACTGTATCATAACTGTAGCTGATAGCACCAATTAGTGTTATGATGTTACATAATTCCAGTGCAACATAATGTGATAAATAAAAGTGTGTTTGAACAATTTTCAGACTTGTGAAGATAGAGTGGGCAAAGAGCAACATGGTAAGTGCAATTTCAAAGTTACTGTTCCATAAATATAACAATGGAACTGCATACACCTTGATTTGTGTGTAAATCATATCCTATATGTTGTAGGACAAATCAGCTGAAGCCACAGCGGCTGCACAAAGTGAGGGGGGTCCTGAGGAGTGTGGCTCAGGCAGTGAGGAGAAGGAGGAGGCCAGTGTCACAGAGGACCACACAGAGCCTGGGACTCTGGACCAAGTCCTGAATCAAGTTCTGGACCACATAAAGGACCTCCTAGACCACAGTTCGTTCTCGGGGGGTTCTGAAGAGTGTGGCTCAGGCAGTGAGGAGGAGGAGGAGGCCAGTATCACAGAGGACCACACAGAGCCTGGGACTCTGGACCAAGTCCTGAATCAAGTTCTGGACCACATAAAGGACCTCCTAGACCACAGTTCGTTCTTGGGGGGTTCTGAAGAGTGTGGCTCAGGCAGTGAGGAGGAGGAGGAGGCCAGTGTCACAGAGGACCACACAGAGTCTGGGACTCTGGACCACGTCCTGAAACAAGTTCTGGACCACATAAAGGACCTCCTAGACCACAGTTCGTTCTTGGGGGGTTCTGAAGAGTGTGGCTCAGGCAGTGAGGAGGAGGAGGAGGCCAGTGTCACAGAGGACCACACAGAGTCTGGGACTCTGGACCACGTCCTGAAACAAGTTCAGGACCACCATTATCTTCATCAACTTTCACAGGTAAATGTCCTGCATTGGATTTCACTCGCTGAGCTAATCAGCTGACCTACTGTTCTCAATAGAGATGGGACAGTTTTTGTATTCTGATGCATCAGCTGATTTCATTTCACATCTTGGAAACCGTCTGACATAGTCATGTAATGATTTGAACTCTGCTCTCAGTGAGTGGTACCTTTTCCCCATGCATATAATATCATGTTCAGGTTAACATGACCAGTGATGGGAATAACGGCGTTGCTTTTTTCAGTGACGAGTAATCTAACAAATTACTTTGACTTTCACTATAACGCACGTTACTCAAGTCACACAATTAACTTTTTTTTAAACTTCATGATAGGACTCGTGCTGACATGAGAGACGGGAGAATGAGATACAGTAACCTCTCAGCAATAATTGGCTGATGTACAGTATAGTAAGATTACGTCTTCAGCCAATCAGAGAATCTGGGTAGGTGGGTGCCAGTGACGTGCGGTCAGATGCCTCACAGCGATCATGGAAAGAAAAAATAATACAATGGAAACAATTATACCTGGTCACTATATCAAATAATTTTTGCTATTGTATTATTTCAATGTAACTTTGCCTTTTTTGATTTATTTTTACATTGAAATCGCAGATTTTCGTCATATTCTTTTCATATTTGACAGAGTGGCGCGCTGTGAGGCGAGCGTCTCTTGGGAGACGTAAAAGCCCATAGCTCACAAAGGGAGAAGCCCGTGCAGTGCTAGCAAACAGTTTTTTCTGTTTATCGTGGTTTACAAAGTTCAAACGTATTTCCTTTACCATCTACATGTCTACAGTTGAGAGGATGTGTCATAAATGGGTGTTTTTGTTTGTTTTTTGCCGTGGTTAATTGCGCTCAATCACGGCTTGTAATGTCACCAAATGAGTAGGGGTGTGACGGGCAATACTTTCTCCCGCGATTCGATTATCGATATGCATTTGCCAAGTATCGATATCGATTTTGAAAAAAACATTTTTAGATTTTTTTTTTTTAAATTGGTATCAATACTTAATATATGGCTACGTTACGCATCTCCATTCCATTTATCATGAAATAAAGTGTATTTTTTCTTTTATTTATGCCATAAATTGGCATATTGTATATATCTGACCAATATATCGATAATCGTCATATCGTGATAAAATCGTTATCGTGAGCTTTGTATCGTGTATCGTATCGTATCGTGAGGTACCCTTAGGTTCCCACCCCTACAAGTGAGGCCAGCCTCAGGGTACGGGACGCAGAATTCGGCTGCATCCGATTCCATAAGAAAGCTCCTTTCTTGTTCTTCATCTGCTAAGGGCAGCAACAGGTTTGGCGAACATACATAACACATTTGAAGATAATTTAAAATGCACTTAGGGTAATGTTCCAATGACGATAGGAATGATAAGAAAGAGAGGTGAAGGGTAAGAAGGTTGATTTTAGAAATTGGATGCACCCGAAATTTGGCTAAACACGAGAAGTTTATGGAGGAGACACTCGTTTTGTTTAACTTTTTAAAACTCATTGGACTTATTTCCAAATGGAGGATTACATATCTATGCTCAAACTATTATCTGGACTTACTTGAAACTGGTCTGAACTGGTCTGTGCAGTTTATGGTATGGCCCATGCTTTTTCATACTTTTGTTTTGTTTGAGCAAACAATGTGGGCATGAAACATATTCTGCTGTAGCCAAACAAATTGTGAATAATCCGCTCTGTAGGTCCTGTTGATTTATATGATATATGTGTTCATCTGATTGGGCTGAAGTCAGTGCCTCACCGATCACCAACCTCACCGCACGTCACTGGTGGGTGTTTCCCACACGGCACCGAACGTGTTTCCAGATGGAAATATCGGCACTATTTCAAACTCACTGAGGTTAAAGGTAAAAATGTGCATGTCGAGTGCACATTTTTACTGGTGCACACTTTTACTGGTAACTGGTTACTTTTAAAGTGGAGTAACTCAGTTAAGTAACTAGTAACTATAACTAATTACTTTTTAAAAGTAACGCGCCCAACACTGCTTATGACATTAACACCATGGTCAATCTAACATTGTACTTCGTCAAAGAAAGACCTACCATACCATACTATTTTATAACATACCATACCATACCATAGGAAGCAGGGCATTACAACACCTTTATTTTCTTGCATATGTTTTTACAACAACAAGGATTGTATGATTACAAGGAAATTTTACTATTGTCATTTGTGTTCTTTTCTTAAGTGCTTAAAAATAGGTTTACAGCTACAGAAGTTCATTAAGGAGTTTGGCTTGTATACAAATCAAGACGATAGAAGCCAGAATCCCGTCTTCAACAAGTGAGAGGAGTTTCCATAATCATCATTTGGAGAAAGGTGACTGCTGTAACATTACTTTTTCATTAATATTAACTATGTCTTTAATTTCAGACTGATGGAAGACTTAAAGAGCAACATGGTAAAAAAATAATTAATTTTCACTGAAATTGTACTGTTTTATTTGTTTAACATGTGTTTGTTGTTATCTGTTTGCTGCTGTAGGAATTGCTGCTCAGTGACAAACCCGTTGTTGACACAGAGCCTTCACTAAGTGAGGAGGGCCCTGAAGACAGTGAGGAGGAGGCCAGTGTCACAGAGAACCAGACAAGGACAGGGACTCTGGACCACATCATGCACCTCCCTTGGTCCCTTTGTGACGTTCAACAACTTTTAAAGGTACAAATCTCTAGAGCAGATCTTGTAAGGTGACCTACTGTAATCATGGAACATGTTATGTCATTGAACACATCTGAAGAATGAATTTGTCATTTGCGTCCATGTCTTTTTAGCCCATACAAGGTGCACTGAAGTTAGGGCTGATTGAGTTATATGAGAACTTTGGCCAATTTATAAGACAAGGCGATATAAACCAGTATCCAGTCTTCTACAAGCTGGAGGGGTGAGAGGAGGCATTCATTTCTTTTAAGAATTTCACAATAATCTTTCATGGTGAAGGATGACTGAGATTCATGTTAAGAATAAGAAACCAAACTATTTCTGATTTCAGACTGATGGAACTTTTAAAGATCAGCATGGTAAAGAACAGAGATCATTTTCACTGCAATGCCATTGTTTAGTTTGTTATTGAAAATAACTTTTACTATATTTGCTGCGGTAGGATATGCTGCCTTCTGACAGCGCAGCTGAAGACACAGTGCCTCCACAATGTGACGAGGGTCCTGAGTTTACTATGAGCAGTGAGGAGGAGGAGGAGGAGGAGGAGCCCAGTGTCACATGGGAGCCCACAGAGGCTGTTCTGGGGGACATGGAGGACACTGAGGACCTTCTGGACGTCCCATACTTACTGGAGCTGGTGAGTCCTGTTTCAAAGAGGCTAAAGTACCACATGCTGAAATGTAATATATTTTGTTATTTCATGTTATATGAACTCTGATGACAATCTTCTGAATATGAAATTCAAATTCTTAAATGAATTTGAAAAGATGAAAGCTGAAGTTTACCTGCTGCAGATACAGTTGAAAAGGATCCTGTGTAAAATCAACACTCTGCAACCAGTTCATTAACATTTGAGTAATAGAATCTTTATGAATAAAGTTCTCATTTTTGTTATTGCCTGTAAAAAAAAAAATGTCTTGCATACATTTTATTTTAATTATTTTAAAATCAGCTAAATACTTTATAATGAATCTAAATGTTGTGGTTTATCAGTTCAATAGATTGTGTTCATGTGACATCACAACATTCCACAGAGCCTATAGTTTAAAATAGTGGTGGACTCAAGTGTCCAATTTCTTGTTTTAGTTTAGAGCTGGTTCCTGATTCCTGGACCAATTCACATGAAACATAAACTGTCACTAGGGGTGCAACGGTTTGAAAAAATCACGGTTCGGTTCGTACCTTGGTTCAGAGGCCACGGTTCGGTTCATTTTTCGGTTCATTTTTCTAAAAAAAAGTTTTGTCTTTTTAATAAACACAGCTCATGTGGACTCGGCACCTGCTCTGACTGCCCCCCCTGACCTAGAAATGAATTAAGGGGAAGGAAATGGATGGATGGAAGGCATATTCCATCCATCCAATTATGTCTATTTAACATAATTAATGAAAAACAACACAAAGTGCAACATAAGAAGGCACTTTATGAGGATATTTACCCTCATATATTACACCACCTTCCTGATTCTCCCAAGGAGGGGGTCCATTCTGGGCCCAGCCTCATTCACTGCATTTATTAAATCTTTGGCATTATCAGTTGTGACTGAGATATTAGTACTGGGCCTTTGTCTTCCATTCCTCCGCTGCTTGTGTCAGTACCTGTGATGTGTGTCACTACCTGCGCTGTGTGACAGTGTGACTGTCGTAGAGGGGGCGTGTCTTCAGCGCCAGACTTTTCATCTCCCAGTCTGCGGTGATGAAGTGAGCGGTTCCGCACATGGATCTAGTATAGATTCCGCGGGACGTCCAAGCGTCAGTCGTGAGCGCAGCTGAGGATGCGCGGGAGAGTTGACTTTAGCCTGGTCTGACTGTGCGTAAAGGAGCTGCTTAAATGCCGCGACAATAGGTGGTCGTTGAGACGCTTTTTTCACTCATGTCTTTCTTGTGCCACAGTGCTTACACATCGTGACAGTTTTGTCGAATATTAATTATCAGTGTAGTTACAGTGAAGCCAAAATGCTCTCATACTGGGGATTTAAATGACGCAGGGCTTTCAAGCATCTCCGTTCCTCCGCTCGCAATGACCGCGCTGTGTGTGGACTAAACAACGTGCGCACAACTTTTTTTTCATAAATCAAACCGCGGATCACGTCTGTACCGAACCGAAGACGTTGAACGGATCACGGATCAGTGATGAACCGTTGCACCTCTAACTGTCACACAATCTTCTTTGTCAGTGCATTAGAGCTGGGAATCTTTCAGAGCTGATACCGGTATTTAACTACAGGGGGCATTAAATTTGATACAATGCATTTCTTAATTATTTGATGCAATTCAGTAAAAAATAACTATTGATGCATTTATATATATATTTTGTATTCAGACTCCTACAGTACATATCAACAATGGCCTAATTATTATTCCATAAAGGAGTCTAGAAGAGGTGACAGTGTTCAAAATCATGCATAATGTTGGCCCTTAGAAAGGACTCTCAGACATGAGAATACAGTAAGGAAAGTCTGTAAATCCAATCACTACCAAATTATGATCTAGGAAAAATTGTAAGTTGTTATCAGAACCTGTCCTCCAACTGAAATACAATTCTAGAGCATGAATGCAACCTACGTCAGTCAAATGTGTAGAACCACCTTATATACTGTACAGTACTACCATTCTGATGAGTTATCATTTAGATCAAAATCATTCTAATATTGGTCAGAAACTGCTCAGGTATTTCTTTTTTGCATGAACACTTTCTGCCTGGTATTTGACTGTTGAGTGTTAATGAAGAGAACTTACATCGTTGATGAAGTCCCCAATGTCTCCGGGTTGAGGCAGGCTGGGTCGTGCGGGGTACTGGGACTCGGCCGTGATCACCGGCCTCTCGTCGACCCGTCTCACGCCCGCGGGCTTATTCATGATGTGCTCCAGCGACTCGGGCTGCTGCAGCTGGCTCAGGTCGTAGTCCTGCATGGATCAACAGTGTCAGACCTGCCCTCACCCACCTTTCGCAACCTGACAATACCATACGCATCGACATACAGCAAACTTTCCAAAGGGTTCAGAAAAAAAAAAAAAAAAAATCTACACTCCAACAAAAAATCATACATTTTTATTGAATTATGGACAGTACACTATTATTACATTGAAAATATCTAACAATTATGTATCGGAATCAAAATATTTTAAAACATCTGGGAAAATAAATGATAATAAATAGAAATAATGTTTATCTAAAAATAATATTTTTAGCATAACCCTACTGAGCACAGATGAGGTTCCGCTCTAACTGAGAACAGTAGCACTTTGAAGTATACAAACATTTGTAAGGTTTATTTATTTATGTTATTTTTTATGACAACACGTTTGTTCATGTGACATCACAACATTCCAAAGAACCTATATTCAAAATTCCAAAGAACCTATATTCAAAAATATGGTGGAAGGCAGCTAACAAATTGTTCCATGGTAAGTGTCAACCTTGAAACGTCTAGTCTTAGTTTAGAGCTATTTCCTGGGCCAATTCACACTAAAGAAAAACCCACACATATAAACAAACATTTATGGTTGTCTATAAGTGACAATATTCCAAAAACATTTACATGATGTTGGCCAGTACAAAGGACTATAAGACTGAAGAATAATGAAGAATAATACGGCAGGTTTTTGAATCAAATCAATATCAAATAATGCTAGGCAAAAATATTTTTTTCAAAAATTGCATCTTTCAAGTTGTATTGACAACCTGCTGGCAACTGAAATAGAATTCGGCAACACGGATTGTGGGTTTGTTCACACTAAAGGGTACAAAGGTGTGACTAAAGGCCGAAAATTAGATTTTAATAGTCAGAAGATATATGAGTAGAAACAAAGTGATTACTTTCATACAGTAAACCAATTAAATGTGAAACCAGACCAAATTATATTTTTCTCAAGTTTAATGTTTAGAGAAAAATTGACAGAAACCATCACATATTTTTCAAGGGTAATTTAAATTTGTATCAATTTATTTTTATTTTTATGAATACTTTTTAAATCCAGTGACTTACTTATGTTGTGTTAACCATGTTAATCTTGTGGGATTTCATCTGCCACTTTGTCAGACTGAGGACATTTCATTTTCTTTAGTTGACGCTTTACTGTGAACGCAGTCATGCAGTAAAACTTTTTTCAGCGTGGTTCTAATTCCTATATTTTAGACAAAAATAAAAATGATTTAGCCATTCATTTTAGTACAATTATAAAACAACAAAGGGTTTTTTGCTCTGAGGAGCACAGGGACTGGCCTCCTGTTAGTGCTCAGAGTCAGGACTAAACATGGGGAGGCTGCTTTTCAGATTCATGCAGCTAAAATCTGGAAAAGTCTTCCTGAAAATGTGAGACAGGCTTCTTCTCTGGCAATGTTCAAATCCAGGTTAGAAACAGTTCTATTTAGCTGTGCAAACAACTGAGGGATTTTATCTTCACTCTTTTGAATGTACAGTTATTATTTGTGATTTTAATGCCTTGTTGTTCATACCATATTTTGTTCAGCACTTAGAGTTTCCTTGAACTGTGCTATACAAATAAACCTGCCTTTCCTTGCATACAACATATGTTCTTGTGAATGATGAGAGGCTGTTGTACCTGGTCTTCCTCCCCTCCCCCCTCCTCGTCATATTTCAGGATGTTGTCCCGAACATCATCCTCAGGGTCGATGAGCAGCGGCTTGGCCTGTCGCTCCTTCTCCCTGCGCTTCATCCACACCACGAACAGCAGCACCATACCTAGAACAGGGTTTCATGGAGACATTAAAGGAGACATACTGTGCATATTATGTTAGACCCTTCTTGTTTTTAGATCCATCCACACTAATATATACATGTAACTCCGCAACTTCTGTCTAAAGGCTTCTGTCTCAGTCTTGTAAGAGTATGATGTCATTGTAACACGTGTCTGCCTTTTAAAACAAATGTAATGGCCATAAAGTTTGGTGACAACTTTTCAAACTAAATTATATTCTATTTAAAGGTGATGATTTTAAACTTTGAAAAAAAACCTAAACAAATTCAACTCCTCCCCCTGGTGGTTTTTGATTGTCTAAAACACCAAATGACAAAGTAAAGTCATTATCATTCCCGTAAGCAAAACAATCATGATATTTATTCTTTAAAGATTTACACAGACTTACATAGCCAAAGGAAATTCAACGTTTAATTGACAAGTTTCTGATGTTTACCAATTGATCTCTTTATTATTGGTGCAACAGTGAATTGTTGGCTATTAGATATTGTGCAGTATTCAACTTGTTCCGGAGGCAGCCTCTGGCACTAGCATATTGATTCCGGCTGCATTAGTTTGCATGGGCTAACTTCAGCGCAGATAAGTACTGAACAGACCATTACGTGGTTGTCAAGCCGCACAGAGAAGGACAAAAGAACAGTGGACATTTTACACCAATCAAACAACTTAACATACTGTTGCTTAAACGGGAGCAGAGCAGCAGCAGAGATTTTTGTAATGCATCACATTAAAACAATCTTTAAAGGCAAACTATTATAACTAAGTGAAAAGACACTGGAGGAAAATCAGGGGAAAAGACAGGATTTAAAGTCGATTCTTTATGAGAATATACTTATTCTCTTCAAACTTGATGAGAGGCAAAGAGCCGCATTCTGATTGGCCGAGAGCTGCATGCGGCTCGCAAGCCTCGGGTTTGCCAACCCTGTCGTAGTGGTACAATGACATCACAGGACTGAGACAGGCGCATTTAGACAGAAGGGGTGGAATGGATGGACCTAAACCTCAGGTCTGTTTTTGACGAGGAACAATGTTACAACATGGTTTAAAGCGTGGCTAGATAACAGGTCTCCTTTAAAAACACACAGCAAAACAATAGAAAAGTTACGGAATATTACAATTGAACAAAAGTGTTGTTTTCATCAGGTGGCAGAATATGAGAAGAATAATGCTAATCACAGCTTGTGTAAAGTGAACGCTATAAGTTGTAGTGTGTGTGTGTGTGTGTGCACTCACTCAGCAGGATGATGATGCAGATGAGGATGGCGATGATGGCGCCTGTGCCCAGCCCGGCTGCTGCCACGGCTCCTGTGGCGCTGCAGTCTCCGCTGTCGTCACACGGACACACTTTGATCCGGAGCATAGAGCGGTTAGTCAGAGGAGGGTTCCCAGAGTCCGACACGATTACAGGGATCTCGTAGAAACCGGCCTCCAGGTATGAGATCTTTAGCTTCAGCTGAGCATAGTCTCCTGAAAAGAAACATCACAACTATTTCAGCGCTGAGGACAAAACTAGAGGCTAAAGAGGAACACTTAGTCTTTTAGGATTATTTCATCCCTAAATCTAAAATCATCTCATGTCGTCTCAATCAGCTCATATAAAACTCACTCATATAAATGAAAGCTGAGGTACCTAACGTTCTGTTTTTTCATATAAATTACATTTTGAGGTTGACAGACAGTGCGTTTTGATTATTGCAATCTGCATTTGTCTGATATTTATAAACTGTGGGTCCAGAAACTTGACTTGGACTCCTGGCAAAAAACATGGACTTGACTTAAACTTGCGGGTCCAGAGACTTGGACTTGAGCTTGTGAGTCAAGGTCTTATGTGTATCTCTGGCGCAAGGTAAATACTGCTCAATTCAGTGAATATTCCCTTAATATCACCTTTTTTACATCTGTGACGGATCGAAGGAAGAGTATTGTCTGTGCTGCTGGAGACTAACGGGATCCTAAATACAGTATCTAGTTTCACAACTACTTTTTGTACGTTTATAACAACCCAGTGGCATTAGGTCAATCTACAGCCACTAATTTGTAGACAAATTAAAATTTGAAACCAAAATATGACTTAGATTTACTACATGCAAGCTTTTTACAAGCCAGTTATCAACATTATAGCAAATAAAGGCTTGCGATATTTCACTTTGCGAAGCCATATTTTTTCATTTTATTCATTTATTTCAAACCTGCAGGTGTATACAAACAAACAGGAAAGAAACAAACAGAGTCTATTAGTTTCATGTTGTAACTACAGATATAAATGGACTTTTAAACAAAGTGTAATTTTCCCAGTTGTACCTGCATTTTCTGATAAAAATACACTTTGAAGCAAGAATGAGAAATCCTTGAAGCCATCCCAATACACATGCTCCTGTTTAGGCGTTTAAGATGAACAACAAGTATAACCTTCTCCATCAATCATTTAGTCAGCTTGAACGGGAGGCTCGGTGGGAATAGGATCAAGGCACGGCATCAGGTTTGTCCTCAAGAAGACGACTGCTGCGGCGCATCCATCTGGGCCGGATCAGCTGACAGGGGGGCCGAGGGGAGTACGCAGGAACGCCTCTCATTTGTCACCCGCTGCGGATGGTGCGTCGACATGGGAGAGCTCACCGCGGGCTCCGTCAGGCCTTTTGTTCCTCTCCGCTCACCGCTCACCACCGTCCCAGCAGTTATTGAGAGAAACGGGTTCCCATCTGTTCACCTGCAGCTTCTCTTATCTTAGAATGACTCCTCCCCCAAATGGTATTTTTTTTTATTTATTTATTTGAACAGTATTAATACTGCACAAAAGGAGTGGGCTGAAGCAAAAGCTTATTAGCACCGCACCCCAAAGCTAATTACAATCGAAATTTACATATTGAATATAGTTCAGAACAGGGATAAAAGGCACACAAGAGCTACATCTGCTCATACTGAACAACAGAACAATCACAATCAATTTATCAATTTACAGAGTAAAGAATATGTCATGACATTAACTTTGACTTTACTTACCAGAGAGAGACCAGAAGGACTCACTGACAAAAGGACAAAATAGATTTTAAGTTTATGTTTCAAGGCAGTTTCAATATACTTTGAACTGTTCTTAATCTTATTACCAGAGTGAGACACAACAACAGTCTGGTTAAGACAGATCTCCACAAAGCAAGAGACACAATATCACCATATTATTATTTTAAATATACTGACAGCAAGTTACTGTGAACAAATTAAACCTATTTCGCTCAAAAAAAAAGAGATGTTGCAGCTAGAAAGCAGAATATTTCTTTATATTTATTTATTTATTATTATTATTATTTTTGTATTTTATTTAATTTATTTATTTATTTATTTTTTTTTTTTTTCAGAGTAGGCAGTGACCCTATGTAGTGTTGTGCGATATTTATTCCCTCACTTCGCAAAGATTGGGTTATGGAATTCAAAGCGTAAGTTAAAGGTGAACTATTCTCTCCAACTGCTGTATTCCCAAAGATTTTAAACGTTTATTTATGCAGGTGAAACAAGGAGCATCATTCAAAGGACCATTTACTTCTGTCACTCCACTTAGTTTGTGAAACTAATATATGACAGACGTATTACATGTTAAGTGTAATAAATCAAGCCTTTATTTGTGTTAGAGTTGATAATTGGCTCCCAGCTGTAAAACTCCAAATAAAACATCTCAAAGACATTTGATTATTTTGACTGTAAGCCAGAATCATCACCACAATGATAACAAACTCAGGCTTGACATATGTGTTGGTTTCAAATGTCCTCTTCAGCCCGATTGCCCCCCATTTGGGGTCCGCCCCCCCTTGCTGCAGCTTGTCCGGACCGTAGCTGACAGATACAACAACTGACAATCACATGTTTCACATCCTCGTGTTCGGACAACTCTCAGCTACAACATTATCCACTTCAATTTCAGTTCAACAAACCCAGGTTCAAACAACAAACCACAATCTGACAAATCGTCATAAAGCACATGTTGAATCAAATGTTTGCTTTGGCGTCACAAGCGCCCTCAAAACAATAAGTAGCCCTGCTGTCAGCACACCATTAGAAAGCCCTCCCCGAGCTGAACACAACGCTATAAGGCTGGTATCGCTACCTCTAAAACTCGCTGACCAAGCCGCAGACGAATGCCAGAAAACAAAGCAGTAAAACATCAGCGTTGAAGTAATAGTTGACTTACTTTTGCTGTTTTTTCATCACAAGTCATTTCCATAGGAATAAAAGTCAGTTTTTTCTTGTATTAACCTCATAGCGAGGCTTCGACACCGATCTGGCAGATACCTGTTACTTCCACCTTCTGTAAGAGGCCCTTTGTGATAGGCTGCACCCGTGCGTCATGTCACGTACCTCTGTGTATCTCTTCCTGTGATTGGCCACAGGTGCTGTCCATCAATACGTTTTCAATGGTTTTTGATAGCCGAAGGTGTCTTCTTTCCAAAATGGTATGACATGCCCTGATTGGCCAAAGTACCGCGGAGGCGTGGACATGCGTATAGTTGGGGCAGAAGGAGATGGAGGAGAGGATCTGTGCGCAAACCCTTTACGCACGGCAGGTAGAGCAGTACTCGGAATTTTGACGAAAGTAAAAGATGGCAAAACAGCGTTATACACGCGAGGAGGTTGTAGAGCTTCTTGCTAGGGAACCGGGTGCCAAAGTTTATCTCGATGACTCTACAGACAGCGAGTTTGCCATTTGGCACAATTTTGGCACAGTTGGATTCCGCCTGGACTTTTTTTCCAATTCCATGTACAACTCTGCAGTGGTTTGTTTATTTGGCACATTTTTTGCTGGACTGGTCCAAAATATCGGGAACTGTCAATTTTTGTTCTTATTTGCTACACCACAGACAGGGAAAAAGCTTTTTTGAGGGAAAATATGTGGGTTTTTTTTAGGCGGAAGTTAGAATTGTCTGTTTCAACCTAATTTTATTGTCAACCAATACAATTCATCATCTTTATTTCACTTCCACAGCAATCCCCAAGGTCCACCAGGTAATTTGGTACCAAGTTTGGCCACATATCTGGCTAAATACTATATGAAATCTTAGTAAATGTAGATTATAGCTTTTTCGGGAAAAAAGGCCTCTGGGCTTAAGAGGTTGAATTACAGAAACAATAATGTGTGCTTCCTAGGCCTTAATTCTCAAGGTATTTTCCTCAATTAAAAAAAGAAAAGAAAAAAAGTTTCTGATTCATCAAAAACATATGTCCACTATAGCTTTGGTTCAATTTAGGTTCAATTTATTCTTTGGGGAAAAAAAATCAAAAACTAAAACTTAAAACGAATAATTTGCTCAAAATTCCTTCTTAATTATGGTTGACAAAAAAAGCCATAGCCACAGATGCAACACCTTCAAACTTTCCGCAAGCACAAATAAAACATAGATATATTGGATTCATATTTTTCCTCCTCTGTGGCCCCTGAGGAACATTCCCTCTAGGAGCACTGCACTAATGATATATTCCACAACAAATACTTTGGATCGATGGATTTAAACATATTTTTCAGACAATCAAAGTTTCCTTATATTTCTACCCAGGTATCACATTTCCATGTTGATGAAGCCTCACCGTTGAGCCTGGAGATGCTCCAGTTGCGCCGCACGTCGGACGGGGAAGTGGGCAGCTCGAACACAAAGGGTCCCACGTTGGGGTCTGCGTCTGCGTCGGCTGCGGTGATGTTGATCCTGGAGTTGGGCCGTCCGTGCTCGCAGACCTGGGCCTCTCGTGGGATCAGCACTGGAGCGTTGTCGTTCACATCGATCAAGTAGATCTGAAGGGTTCCTGTGCCGCTCGCCTGAGGAGAACCTACGGGACAGGACAAGGAGTTATGGGACAGAACAAGGGGTTAGGGGACAAGACAAGGAGTTATGGGACAGAACAAGGGGTTAGGGGACAAGACAAGGAGTCTTTGGGACAACTCATCAGAGGATGTACAAACATGTAACGTGTTAGCGGAAAGGAGTAGATAAAGGAAAGAGAGTGATGGCCTCAGCACCGATGGGTGAGGGGGAGAAGTGTTTGGGTGCAGTATGTGTCTTGTCTGAGTGAGTGTATGTCAGTGCTGAAATAAACTCTCCCTAAATAATGTTTTTCAACTGTGAATAATGTTTTTTGAATATGAAACTCATTACAACAAAAGTGCATTTACAAGAGTTTGTTCCTGTCACTCTCTGAGCAGCTTCTGAAGTTGATTGTTTGCGAAGTGCCTCCATTTTTAAACAACAGCCACTTTTGTTGTCTCGAGTAGCAGCAGCAGCAACAAAATGTAATTAACAACATTGGGCTTTGGGGCTGCAGTATATAATATGGATATATGTATCAGAGCGAGCAAAATGGAATGAAAGCTTTCGGCATATAATCTAAGAAATACAAAGTTTGCACCCTAAAGTGGATACTCAAGATTTTTATGGTAAAACGAGTATGATTTTGGATTGGAACATAGCAGGATTGATGGCACAAATTGAGTGGACATTTGCACAGTAAAGTCAAGATTAAAGTGAGTGAACTGCAGCAGTCTGAGACCATTCATCCACTTGAACACCTGCCCAGCTCGTGACTTACTGACACCCACAGCGGAGCGCTTACACTGAGTAAAGGCCTTTTGGCTTCACTCTCCGAGCAGAGTTTCAAAGTTTCACGTTGGCAATGGTGAGGAGAATACTTGAAAATGAAATTGTTGATACAGAATACTGAATAAGGCATCACAAGTGAAGATGTAATCTGGGAGCCATCTGTTACATGTGTTTTACAATTGTCCATAGCCGTTAATTGAGGACTACTAATGTCTATCATAGTAGCCTGAGACGCTAACCTTTATTTCCATGGAGAGCTACATTTTAAATAAGTACAGTAAGTAAGTAATCTTTATCTATATACCGCCTTTCACAGGCCAGAGTCACAAAGCGGTTTACAATTGTGGGCATTTGTCTCCCACTCCACAGTAAAGGAGGCGCATGCAAGACCTGTTGTACATGTTTTTAGTGGTAGGGGAAACCGGAGCACCCAGAGGAAACCTACACAGATACACGGAGAACATGCAAACTCCGCTCAGATTTTCAGGACAATAATGGCCGAGACCTACTCTTTGAAGCAGTTTCATAGTCAATACTGTTGAATGACACGCCCTGGATTGCTTTATCGGGTTATTATGTATTTTGTGATATGATCTGTTACATGGGCTAGGGTTTGTATTGTGAATAATTTTATGCTCAAGTTTATGACGATAAAGGGTAAAAACGCAGCGTAGAAGTAGAACTGTTAAAGCAAAGATTGTTATGTATTCCTTGTTTATTGTTAGTTCAAATACAATACGTGTCAGCACATATCAACTATGGGCTAATCATTTTCTTGTGAAGATGTATAGAAGCAGTAACAATATTATACAAACAAGAGGTACGATTCGATTTATTATAATCTGAAATATTACAATTCAGACGAAAATTATGCTCTGCTATATCTAAATAAAAACATTATAGATAGATTTATTGAAGACTATTTTTCCTAAAGTGAAAATATCCAAACAAATAATGATCCATTTTTTAAACGTGAAGAAAATCTGAAAAATCAAAAGAAAAAATATATATTATTATCATATGATATATTATTACAAGAATAAAATGTATCAAACAATATTGTACATAATCTCTAATCATTATCATGATTTTCACACCTCTACTCCAGACTGAAAGAATCTGACTGCGCCTGGTGTGACCTCCTCTTGTTTCTAATTATTCTGAACAATGTTTGGTGTGTTTAGGTCTAATGCGAACGCCTCAGACCTGTATTTAAGGCGATCGATACAAAAAGATACAGTACATGTTGCTTTGCTGCAGTGATGTATGGCAGCCTTGACGTTCAGCTAACACCCTCAGCTTGCTCGCGGTGTCAATAGGATGAACTAAATTAGTCTTGCAGTACAGTGGAGATAGGCTTCACACTATTTCTATCTATACCTGAACTGTTTTCCCATCTCTTACCAACTTACACACACACACACACGCACACACACACACCGACACACACACACACACCGACACAGACATACACACACAAACACACACATACACGCACCGATCTGCTAACCCTGCGTCCCAAGGCCCATCGACCGCCTTGTCGGTTATGATAGTGCCAGGTGCTTTGTTGCCTTTCGTTTACGCTCGGCTTGAGAAGAATAAGTAAAGCGAATTTCAATCCAGTTCCAGTGTTGACCGAGGGATTTGCAATCAATATGTAGTCAACACTCGGCTCTTTTCTCAGCGGCTAAAGACACATGGGTCCCGTCGTCTGGAGAGCATAAACACCTCCATTTCTTCACTTTACTTGTTGCTCTGTACCGTGATTGGAGAGACAGCTGTAAATGTGCGGACCGACAGTATTGAAGCTGGAATAATGCGGATGGTTACTTTGAGATCATTGGCTTAACTCACCTTATGGTTGAGTGGCGCCATTCGAAAATGTGGTAAGTGTGGGGTTTAGACAGTGTTGTGCGTGAACGAGTTCAAAAGAACGCGTTCATTGAACACGCTAATTTTTTCGTGAACGTTGAACTGAACGCAACACATTTTTATAAAAAGAACTTGAACGTGAATTAGTTCATTTTATGTGTCATGAACGGCAGACATCACTATGAACGTTGGAATCTGTTTTCTCTTTTGAAACGCAACGAGAGAAAGTTCCTCCCTCTTGTATTCCCCACTTTTTCTGCTGAAATCTAAAAATTCCTACGGTTTCCACCGTCTGTGAACGCACCCCGACTCCGTGTTGCGGTGTGGCGCTGTGAGCTGGTGCTTTTCACATGTGCCCGAGTCGTGATGAAAACACAGGGTGAGTTAGCGACAAAGTTTACACCGTTTACATTTGACTTAAAGTATAGACACACGCACTGCAGCACATTACTGTCTGTAGTTTATGAGCAGAGATGGAGCAACTCCGTTTGGCTCCCATTGAAAACCATATAACTCTTGTCTGTTTTGTAGTCAAAAGACTCTCCTCCTGTGGGTGTACAGGAGATATATATATACATACATACACAAATTATATATATATATATATATATATATAGCTCGTAGTGTGAAAAAAATATCTCACGAAAAAAGTAAAATTAACTGAACTTTGAACTAGTTCAGAATTAAAAATATGAACTTTGAACGTGAACTGTTCACTTTGAGCATGTATGAACTGAACTTGAACTAGTTCAGAAAAGCTGTGAACTGGCACAACACTGGGTTTAGATTGCGAGGATCTTGTGCCAAAACAATGTCAGAAAGTCTAACACCATCTTCAGTAGTGGATTAGTGTAGATTTAATTGTCTAAAGCGGTGTCTCTCAAAGTGGGGTCCGCGGCCCACCGAGTATTGCAGGGGGGCAGCAAGATTTTTTTTTTTTTTTTTAAACAATATAATTACTATATGTAAAATTAATAATATTTCGTTTGTAAAATTAATAATATTTTGTTTGTAAAATTAATAATATTTTGTTTGTAAAATTTAAATATTTGTTCATTATTTGTATTGAATAATCAAATTGTAATCATTTGACAAAGAGATATCGACATCCAACTATTTGCCTAAAGTCCTCAGATATGCACTGAAGTAATGCTTCATGGCACTGGATCATTTTTGCTATTATCTTCATTTTTAGCAAGTTTTATGGTCTGTGCTTGACAAAGGCCTACTGGATCACCAGGAGGCCCCTACCACCACTTCAATGGCTAATACTATGGCAAATGATATGGAAGAAGTTAAGAAGTCACTAAACTTTATGTCAGGTGAGCTGACTAAAGTGGTAACACAACAGAATGATTTACTGAAACTGATCGAGGAAGTACATAATCTGAAAGAAGTGATTAAAGAGAAAGACAAGAAGATCGAAGAGCTGGAAAACAGAGTGGACCAGCTGGAACAATACACAAGAATGGAGGATGTGGTGATTTCTGGACTGGAGACTACACATCGCACATATGCACGGGCCGCTGCTAATGTCAATGAAGGAGAGGACGCACCACCAGGTGAACTGCTGACACTTGAACAACAAGTAACTAACTTTTTCAATAGAAATGGGATCACTATTGACAGTACAACAATAGCAGCATGTCACACAATTCCTCAAAAACAGTCAAAAAAACCAAGTATAATCATTCGATTTGCAAATAGAAAACACAAAATTGAGTTGCTAAAGGTTGCAAGAAAGCTCAAGGGTACTGGTGTATATGTTGACGAACATCTTACGAAGAGGAATGCTGAAATTGCTTGGCAAGCAAGAATGTTGAAGAAGAAAAGAAAAATACAGGATACATGGACGAGAAACTGCAAAATAATGATCAAACTCAACGGGCCACCAGAGCAGGCCAAAGTTGTGACAATCAAACATGTCTCGGAGCTGGAGAAGTACAAATTAAATTGAAACTTATAGTAACAAGGGGAAAAGGCAAAGGTATTCTTTCTCCCAAGTTTTTGACTTGATTAGTATTTTGTTTCTTGTCATTTATGGATAAAAAGTATTGCATAGAAACAGGAAAAAACAATTACTTTAAAAGTTTTGATGACAAAGAATATAAATCTAATGATAGAGGAAATGATATTGATCCAGAGACTCATCTCTGCAGTAGCACTGAGTTGGACTGTGAATATTATACAGAGGAGGACTTTAACATGAGTATGCAGGGATTCTCACTCATACATTTCAATAGCCGGAGTCTTTATAGAAACTTTTCCAAAATTAAGGACCATTTACAAAAGTTTGATGACTTTTCTGTAGTTGCAGTCTCAGAGACTTGGATAAAGGAGGGAAAAGTATTTTTGGACAAATTAGACGGCTATGAAATGTTTTCACAGAACAGACTCTATAAAAGAGGGGGTGGGGTTGCTCTGTTTGTTAGAACGGGCTTAGAATGCAGGGTAATCGAAAATATGACTTTTTCTATTGAGAACCTGATGGAGTGCTTAACTATTGAAATTAAAGCCAGAACAACAAAAAACATAATAATAACTTGTATTTATCGCTCTCCTGGTTCTTGTATAGATCAGTTTAATAAAAGGATTTCTGAGTTGTTTGAGCAAAAGGTTAACAAGTTGACTTTGATTTGTGGTGACTTTAACATTGATTTGTTAAAGTCCAATGAGCACTCACAAACTACAGAATTCATTAATACAATGTTTAGTTTGAGCTTCTACCCGCTAATATTGAGGCCAAGCAGGATAACAAAAGATAGTTGTACATTGATTGATAATATATTCTTAAATCAAACTGGTATAAAGACAAAAAGTGGACTCTTGTTAACAGATATTACTGATCACTTGCCTGTTTTTGTTGTGATGGAAATGTTTCATCACAATAAAACACCTCAATATTTGTTCGATATTGTTCACAGACACAAAACACCTATTGCTATTGAAGCCTTGAAATTTGAGCTCTTAAATTATGACTGGCAAGGAATCTATTTTGGAAATGTTAATGATTCCTATAATGCATTTAGAAATATTTCTTAATATTTATAATAAGCATTGCCCTCCAAAACGATATAAGCAAAAATGTAAAAAAGGATCTAAACCGTGGATGTTAAAAAGTTTGGAGAAGGCTTGTAAAAAGAAGAATAAATTATATAAAGAGTTTATGAAAAATCCTACAAAAGAAAAAGAGAAACTGTACAAAGAATATAAAAATAAATTAACAGTTATAATAAGAAGAAGCAAACAAGATTATTATGTTAACTTACTACAGAAATATAAAAAGGATATTAAGGCCACATGGATGGTAATCAATAAAGTAATAGAAAACAAAAAAGAGATGATTTTACCTACAAGTATTAAAAATGCAAATACAACAATTGAAGACAAAAAAGAAATTACAAATGCTTTCAATCAATTTTTTGTTACAGTAGGTCCTAAATTAGCCAATCAGTTACCTACTGTTGGAAATATTGAGTTTCCTACTTCAAATAGCAACACAATGTTCCTAAATGGCGTATGTCAAAGTGATGTTTTAGAAGCAGTATATCAATTTAAAAGTAAGAATTCCACAGATTGTCATGGTATTGATATGTCGCTCATCAAAGATGTCATCCACTGTATTGTTGAGCCTTTAACCTATATTTGCAACAAATCTTTTTCAACTGGTATTGTTCCTGATCAAATGAAAATGGCTAAAGTGATTCCAATTTACAAAAGTGGAAATAAACAACTTTTATCTAATTATAGACCAATTTCACTGTTGCCACAATTCTCAAAAATATTAGAGAAATTGTTTGAAATTAGACTTGATGTTTTTATCAACAAATATGATTTATTGAATGACCATCAATATGGCTTTAGAAGCAATCATTCAACATCCCTAGCAGTGATGGAACTTGTAGAACATGTTGCGACAGCTGTTGATCAAAAGCTCTATACAGTGGGTGTATTTGTTGATTTGAGTAAAGCATTTGATACAATTGACCATGCACAATTGTTGAAAAAGTGTGAATATTATGGCCTTCGTGGTAAAACAAATCAATGGCTGCAAAGCTATCTTAACAACAGATATCAATATGTAAAAATTGATGATGTGGATTCACAGTTCGAAAAAGTTACTTGCGGAGTGCCCCAAGGCTCGGTCCTGGGACCAAAATTGTTTATACTATATCTAAATGATATTTTCACCGTATCACCCATGTTTAAATCCATCATGTTTGCTGATGATACTAACTTTTTTTGTACTGGAAAGAAACTGAATGAATTATTGCAATTAGTAGAAACTGAATTTGTTTTGATCAAAAAGTGGTTTGATTATAACAAGCTATCTTTAAATGAAAACAAGACAAAATTTATGATATTTGCAGGTAACAAAAAAACTGATGGTGTAAAATTACATTTAAATGGAGTGGAAATTGAAAGAGTTTTTGAAGCCAAATTCCTTGGAGTAATCCTAGATCACAAACTTTGTTGGAAACCGCACATTGAATATGTCAAGCATAAGGTGTCAAGGTCAATCGCAATATTGTATAAAACAAGGAATTTATTGAAGAAAAAAGGATTGTTTTTGATATATAGTTCTTTAGTTATGTCCCATCTGTCATATTGTGTAGAGATATGGGGGAACGCTGGCAAGACATGTATAGATTCTTTATTTAAATTGCAAAAAAGGGCTATAAGGATTGTAAATGAGGTTGGTTATTGTGAACCAACTAATAATTTATTTATTCAAAATAAAACTCTAAAATTAATGGATATTGTCAACATCAAAGTGTTAGAAATTGTTCACAGGGTTAAAAACAATAACATTCCTAAGCCTATTAAGAGTTTCTTTAAATTAAGGGAAAGTTGTTATAACCTAAGAGGTCTATTTATTTTTGAAAATGTTAAAGTGAGCTCCGTTGTGAAGTCCAGATGTGTTTCAGTTGAGGGTGTTAAGCTATGGAATGGACTAAAAGATGAATTTAAACTATGTATTTCTTTAATTGGATTTAGAAGAATGATTAAACAGAAGCATTTGAGTGATTACCTCAAGCTTGTATGAAATGAAATGGAGATGTGCATGTGTACATATCATTCATTATTCTGTCTGTAAGTCACCAAATAGTTGTTCTTTATTTTTTTGTTATTTGATAAAGTATATTATTAGTGTGATAAGCTGTTTTTAGCATCAGTTATGTGGTTTGAACAAGGATAGGCATAAATAAGCATTGCTTCAGCCTATTCCTTTTTTGGTTGGATATTTTTGTTTTGTTGTTAGTGTTTGTAAATTTAAATGCCTCAACCAAAATAAACCATTCATTCATTCATTTTTGTATTACAAAATGGGGTGCGTCATTTACATGTTTGTAGCAGAGGCTATATCCCCCAAATAAAAGAACGAGAAGAGCCTATTTTTAACATTGTCTTCTTGGTTATTTTTTCAGGGGGCCGCGCCGACCAGCCAGATAATTAATTACTGTAGTAGTTACTGACTTTGGGAATAGCTGGTCTAAAGTAATCTCTGGAATAATGAAAGAAACATCAACCCCATTGACTTTGTACAGATTGCCGGTTAAGGTTTTCCATGACTTTTCCATAACCTTTTACCTATTTTCCATGACCAAATAATACCTTCATGTGAAGAATTGAAATAATATTTGTATTCATTGGTTGATTTTGTATCTGTTTACAAGCAATTTGTTGATTCAATTGACACAATAATCTGTAAGAGGAGATATCATTGATGAGTTGTAAAGCTATTGTTCCCTTGTCAAAATCTTATTTCTAAAAACTATTTACTCTAAAACATCAACCACAGTCCTTTTGAAATAGTGCAGGGGTGTTCACTGGCTCCCAAAGACCAGTTGATGGGAATAGCTTGTGCTTTTTTGTCTTTCATAAGGCTAGCCAAAGCAGCCTCGTCCATGTTTAAAATATAAATTGATTTACTGAATGGCTTGTGCTTGGCATGTCTCGAGTCTTCACCCTTTTGCAGCCAGAATCAATGTTTGTCCATAAAAAGCCATGCATTGTTCAAATTGCATTTCCTCGGCACTTTGAACTCATTTTAGCTTACATGCAACGAATCGCTTCAGAAATGGAAAGCTCTGTGAGCGAGAAAAATTGGGAATCTTGGGCGGGGCGTGCCATCTGCCGGAATCAAAACGCACGCAGGTGGGTTGTCACCGAATTCTTTCCATTTGCTCATTTCTTATTTGTTTATTTTTACTTTTGAGATTTTTTATATGATAACCACAAGATGGAAGCCTTCTGACTCACTGACAGTGAGTAATTTTTTGACGTTGCCTATTTGGAGCTCTCCATGGTGCTGAGATTTAATTTTTTATTAGTTATGCAGCCGGGGCGACAGTAGCTCAGTTGGTAGAGCATTGGCCTTTGAGCCTGAAGGTTGTGGGTTCGAGTCCACCACAAGACCTAATTCACGGCTCCCACTGATGACTGCTGTCATTGTGTCCTTGGGCAAGATACTTAACCCCACTTTGCCTGAAAGATCTCAGCTCCTGTGGACTCACCACCTGCAGGAGGATCAGTGAGGGGCTGGTGCTCTGTATACTGGGTGCAGCTCTGACTGCCACCCACCCCGACCCAGAAATGGATTAAGGGTAAGAAAATGGATGGATAGAAGGGTAGTTGTGCAGATTTTTGTATGTATTTGATTTGTTTGCATGTTTGTTTCTGTTCATTTACTTTTCTGAATAATACAAAAAACGATTTAGTTTTTGCTTTTCCTTAAAACAAAAACACCTTTATAAAAAATAAACTAGAACCTATACAAATAAAAACACCTTTCCAGGTTTCCCATGACTGTATGAACCCAGTGATGAACATACAACAGATAAAATCTTCTCATAGTCATTTCTGTTATATTTTATTATGCACACTACCCTCCTCTCTTTATCTCACCATCTAAAGGTAATGCAAGGTTATTTGATGTTTTGCAACCTTATACTGTTCTGTCAGGAATAACAAAACTGTCTTCTCAGCTGTCCAATGGGTTTATATAATGTAAAATAAGCCGCAGATTCCCCGACGGTTGTCTAGAATTACATTTGCACAAGTAATGACACATATTGGATGGTAAAGAAAAGCTGAGATTGCTGGATGCGCTGATGAAACAGGACAACATGAGAAAGAACACAGAAATGTCAGCAGAATTTACCACTTACCCGACTTACCATTGTCGAACGCCAAAAAGGTGGCTTCGTATATGTTGTTCTTTACATAAATGGACTCTCGGTCCAGCATGGCCATGGTGGTGATCCGGCCGTTGGTGCGATTGATTCTTAGCCAGTTTGCAGGATCTGACAGTTTGGAATACCTGAAAAACGCAATAAAAGATTCATGGGTTTCATCTTCCGGTTATATGCAAATTATTGAGGTCAAAAGATATAGCATTTGTTTTTAGCGGTTGTGGAAAAGGTCCTTAGTTCTCACCATTCCATAGGTCATGTTTTAGATATTCAGAAGTTATGGGCATAACTTTCATTTTGTTTGTTTTATGAAAAAAATCATTTAATGATATAATCATTTCTTAAAGGGCCCATATTACGCTTTTTGACTTTTCTCTGCTTTAAACATGATTACAGTGCTTCATACACATGCCGAGAGAAATATTTTTCACTGATTCTGTCAATCTTTAGTTAGAGCGCGATCTGTCTCCTTCACCCTTGAGAGGCAGTGAAACGCCCGGGTCCACATCTGTGACGATTACCACTCTGATGAGGAATATATTTGTATTTAAAATGGTTATTAAATACTTTTGTCAAAACAGGGTAAACAATACACAATAAGTATGTTGGTTGTCAAAACTATTACAAATAAAAATTATAGTAAAAGGCGGGAGGTTATTGAGAGATCAAAACAGCAAATCAGAGCTCAAAAAATGATCACACATGTGCATAGGATTGACTGTGAAACATGAAGAAAAGCGTACTATAGGACCTTTAATGTTTATTACTAATTGCCTGTCTTGACGCGGGACGTAGGACTCAACCACTGAACTGAGCCTTGCTTGTGACTTGCAAAACAATGACTACTGCAACAAAATAATTATTGAATTGAAATCTTCCTCTGCTTATCGTTTTCATTTTCATTCAGACCATTCCACACTTTCACCATGGAGTATGTGTTAAATTCTCTAAATATATCCAGACTGTTTCCATCGGAGTTTGACAGTTTTCCTTCAGTGACAGTGAACAGCTTGGTCAGCCTGTCCCTGTTACTGCGGTATCACATTTCTGACCTCACATATGCACATCCACCATCGTGCAACTTAAAAAACAATTTGCTGCTTTTATCCCATGAAGAGTTCACAGAGTTTATCACCAAGCAATAACCGCCAGAGACTGAACTATTTCTAAATTTGTTTGGGCTCCTAATTTCCATAATGATATCAAAGAGCCATCATTTTACCGTTAGATTTCCACTGCTTAGGTCTTAACGAAGGCTACAAGACATGACCCGGGCATCACAGGAATGTTTAGAATTCAACAAACACTTCAATACGTTCTCAGCTTTAATTCAATCTAATGGAGTCAACTGCCAAACAGGCTAGCACTTAGATCCGCTTCTCCTTTCTTCCTCCAGAGACGGCCAAAAAAATAACGGTTTCAAAATGAAGGAACATTGCTGGCTGCCTTCTCAGGGCGTATGGGGAGTTCAGGCGAGGTCCCCACAGTACTCACGGAGCTGTCTGAGAGCTGACGTCTGCCTCAGCGTTACAGTGGTTCTAGATAATGCAGATTTACTAAGAACGCACAGAAGAAAGTGACAAGGTGTGAAAGAATGAGGTGTGGCAAATGCAGTGCAATAAGTCAAGAAGTACAGAACACAACTGCTGATGAAGTTTTTGCAATTGTCTTAAAGGTGATGTCTGCAACTTTAGTTCACAAAATAATACCTATTTTTCACTGTATGACTCTGTAGCATCATCTATATTAAATGTTTTTCATAAGACATGTATTGAAAACAAATATCCCCCCTTGAATAAGCATGGCCAGAAAGATTTGATGGAGGATAATAGTTTGGAGAGAGGCCTCAACTGTTTATCAACAAATTGTATCAGTAAACCTGTGAGGGCGGGTGGCGCTTTTTTCCATCTTGATAATTTGTTACTGACCATCACTTTAAAGCTTCTAACATACAGAGCACCAAGACAGTCTCCTTTACAGCCACATCCCGTGTTAAAGTATTTATCATAGATATACATGTAGAGTAAAAGGAAGCAATTCCGAAATATTTTGAGACGGACATGTTGCATTGCTTTTGTAGCTAACTTCACTGATCTCACAATGGAGAATTTTTCATGTCACATTTGGCATCAATAGGATCACTCAGGGTGTGCAAAAAGACAGGAAATGGGCAAACATGTGAAAAAGTGCAAACATGTTTTTTAAAAAAAGAGAGCGATGGAGACCAGACATTCCAAATTTTCATAGGGACTTTAACTGAGACACCAAGAGATAGTGGAACTATTTGAAGATTAAAATTAACAAAAACTGCTAATGTATTTGGTGTGAATCAGAACATTATCTTAAAGGTCACAAAATCCTCAAAACCCATGCCTGAAAGACACTGCCAAGACAGGAGTTCTCTGAGCTGTAAATCTGCCATATAAACTGATGTGCATTCACATTAAATCTAAAATCCGTAAAGCTCATTCCCATTGAGCAAAAGCTTGTTCAGCCATGACAGTCCAAAGATCCCGGGTCGCCTCCTCCGAACACACTGAGCGACTCGCTCTGGGATGTCAAAACGACTTGCCACCTAGAGTCTTGTTTTGTCGAGGCGTGTTCAGGGTGTACGCTTCGACCAAATACAGCGGTAATTTAGACAGCTTACAAGCAGGTCACACCAGGGACAATACTTTGCATAATGACAACATAACGAGCTATTACTGTCAAAATGTCTCTTACATGTTTATATTCCTCCCTGAGCATCTTAAGCTAGTCCAATAAAATGGGATTCCCTGGAGTCCATTGTGCTGTGACTTTAGAAGACTTATTTGGAAAGCTTTTTTTGACCCTTTCATTTTGACGTGTTCCTGTCTTCTGTGGAGAAAAGCCCACCCTGGGACAAACAAGACACCAACTATAACACTGTTGTCCCAGGTCGAAACAAGATTTCAACACGGTTCAAAAACACAGTCAAAGCACAGTATAAAAACACTGATATAGCCTAAACCACAACAAACTGGAACATCTAAAGCAGGGGTCTCCAACCTTTTCCAATCAGAGAGCTACTTTTATACAACAGAAGAGGCAGAGAGCAATTTCTTTTTGCAGTCATAATAAAAATGTATGTAAAAATAACAACAAGAGAGGACACACATGAAGAACACACGTAAAAAATACTGTATTTACTGTATAACCCTATTTTTGTTACTTATAATGGATATGTAATGACTCAAACTGGATTCATTAAAGATCATTTGTTAAATTCTAAATCCTTTGGCGAGCTACCTGAAAGGGGCTGGCGAGCTACCAGTAGCTCCCGAGCCACAGGTTGGAGACCCCTGATCTAAAGCATGATGAAATGCTCAATAACTAAGTAAGTAAGTAATGTTTATTTATCCATCCATCCATTTTCTTCCTCTTAATCCATTTCTAGGTCGGGACGTGGCAGTCAGAGTCGCACCCAGTACACAGAGCATCAGCCCCTCACTGATCCTCCTGCAGGTGGTGAGTCCATAGTGCTGAGATCTTTTAGCAGGGGCTTCAGGCAAAGTGGGGTTAAGTGTCTTGCCCAAGGACACAACGGCAGCAGTCATCAGTGGGGGTCGTGAAATAAGTCTTGTGGTGGGCTCAAACCCACAACCTTCAGGCCCAAAGGTTCTACCAACTGAGCTATTGTCGCCCCATGTTTATTTATATAGCGCATTAGTACAGATCATAGTCATCCAAAACCCCACTGTGGGACTAATAAAGGTTTCATTAATTCATTCAAACACTTAACAATTGTTCAGACTTCAGATGGAAATCAATCAACACCATCTCACTCATTATTTTCATACTTTTTAGAGGTAAGGGAAAACCGGAGCATCCGGAGAAAACCTACGCAGACAAGGGGAGAACATGCCAAACTCCACACAGAAAGGCCTGGAGGTGGAATCAAACCTTCTTGCTGTGAAACACAAGCTCAAACCGCTGCGCCGCCGCATCAGCAAAAGAATCCCACACAGGAACAACCAAGACACAAACTTTATACTGTTGGTTTGGCTGTTAACGAGTATTGTCAGTCTTCTCGCTCAGACCGCTAATGACCCTGTGACCACTTGGCGGCTCTCTGGTTGGTCGCTGCACGTGCGACCTGCCTGCATCGTCTTTCCGCAACGCAGCCTTTGCTGCGCATTCCGTGCGTACCGCGACGCACATGCACTTCCACGCTTGAACAGACGTTCTCATTGACGACTTGCAAAATTATCTGGTTGAAACGCCCCATTAGGAAAAACTGTCACGAGGTGGGTCCAAAACAAACACGTACAACACCAGCAACTTGATCAAACATCTGAAAACTTTATAGCAGAAAAGTATAGCACCTTTGCTAGCACAGGAGCACAAAAACAACCAACTCTACAACATCTGTATGAGTGGAATATGACAGTGGCTCTTATTGTTGACTATTGACAATTTCTAAAATGTTTAATTGCTAAAGCATTTTCTTATTGTTGAAATGAGAAATAAAACATTTTTAATTTCAGTTGTATTAGTTTTATGAATTCCCAGGGATAACACAATGCAGTACTTGTATCGGTACTCGGTATCGGCATGTACTCCAATTAAGGTACTCGTACTGGTATAGGTTTGGAAAAAAGTGGTATCGGTGCATCCCTACTGCAGCCCATTTACAAGTCCACCTTAAAAACACTATATCTTCACTAACATTTCCAGTAGCATCCTGAGACTGTGACATTACGGAAAATCAATACGGCTGGCACAAGCTTGCCGTACCATGAAGGGCGCGTGTGGGAGTCTCAGTTGCACTCGGGGTCAACTTTTGTCTGCCGCATCGGACTCATTACGTTTGCCACCTTAGCCCACCCTGAATGGACCAGTGGAGTGGAGAGGGTTCAGAAGAGGTCTTGCACTTGGGATAAATTGTGATTAGAAGCAGAGTTCAGGACATCATGAATACACCAAGGCCAATAAAAGCAGCGCAGTTTCACAAGCTGTGGCCACGCTTAGAAGGTCATGTCAGGACCGGCGCTATAGAGATGGGAGCAAAGAGGTGTTGAAAGGAGCTTTTTTAGGCTTTTAACCATGTTACAACATTGGTCATCAAAAACAGATCTGGAGTTGTTTTTAGATCCATTCACACTAATATCAGGAACTGGCTGAAACATGTAACTCCGCCCCTTCTATCTAATAGTACGATGTCATTATACCACTGTGACATCAAGCTCAGAGCAGTTTGCTGCCTTTTAAAACAAAAGTGTAGCCCCAATTTTCTTTGGGCAAATTCTCAGGTGAAATTACCCTCTTTACATTTACATGGCTGCGGTTACAGCTGGCAATTTTTCATTTGAAAAAAAGACAATAATAAATACATAGCTACACCTCCCTGTGGAAGATACATGAATAGGACATGCCAATAGCATGATTTACTCTTCATACGTGTTTCACCAGATGAAATGACAAAGTTATATCTTTAATGGACACAAATGATTCCTTGTATTTATTCGTTAAAGCTGGAGTACCCAACTATTTTTTTTTAACAAAAACAATATATTGTGTTTGTCTCATCAGAGAGAGACTTGTGAAAGTAATGTTTTTTGAACAAATAAGACAAAATTGTAGCTTTAATCTTAGAAAAATATAAAGTCGTTTGCATACTTTGGATGTAAGTCACTTATTGACACTTTGGGCGGAGCAAGAATGTTCCTCTCTTTTACACATTTCTCTCTTAAAAAAGCATGACAGATGCCTACATATGGATGCTAACGCCAATATCCATCCATCCATCCATTTTCTTCCGCTTTATCCGTTGCCGGGTCGCGGGGGCAGCAGTCTAAGCAGAGACGCCCAGACTTCCCTATCCACACACACTTCCTCCAGCTCGTCCGGGGGGACCCCAAGGCGTTCCCAGGCCAGCTGAGAGACATAGTCCCTCCAGCGTGTCCTGGGTCTTCCGCGGGGCCTCCTCCCGGTGGGACGTGCCCGGAACACCTCCCCAGGGAGGCGTCCAGGAGGCATCCGGAACAGATGCCCGAGCCACCTCAACTGGTTCCTCTCGACGTGGAGAAGCAGCGGTTCTACTCCGAGCTCCTCCCGTGTGACTGAGCTCCTCACCCTATCTCTAAGGGAGCGCCCAGCCACTCTGCGGAGGAAGCTCATTTCGACCGCTTGTATCCGCGATCTCGTTCTTTCGGTCATTACCCAAAGCTCATGACCATAGGTGAGGCAGGGAACGAAGATTGACCGGTAAATCGAGAGCTTTGCCTTTCGGCTCAGCTCCCTCTTCACCACAACGGTCCGATACAGCGACCGCATAACTGCGCACGCTGCACCGATCCGCCGGTCAATCTCACGCTCCATCCTTCCCTCACTCGTGAACAAGACCCCGAGATACTTGAACTCCTCCACTTGAGGAAGGACCTCTCCACCCACCTGCAGAGGGCAAGGCACCTTTTTCCGGTCGAGCACCATGGCCTCGGATTTGGAGGTGCTGATTCTCATCCCAGCCGCTTCACACTCGGCTGCAAACCGTCCCAGTGCATGCTGCAGGTCCTGGTTCGTTGGAGCCAACAGGACAACATCGTCCGCAAACAGCAGAGATGAAATCCTGTGGTCTCCGAACCGGACCCCCGCCGACCCCTGGCTGCGCCTAGATATTCTGTCCATAAATACAGTGAACAGAACCGGTGACAAAGGGCAGCCCTGTCGGGGCCAACATTCACCGGGAACAGGTCTGACTTACTGCCGGCAATGCGAACACAGCTCTGGCTCTGGTCATACAGGGATCGGATGGCCCTCAGCAGAGGACCTCCGACCCCGTACTCCCGGAGAACCCCCCAAAGGACACCCCGGGGAACACAGTCGAACGCCTTCTCCAAATCCACAAAGCACATGTGGACAGGTTGGGCGAACTCCCATGAACCCTCGAGTATCCGATGGAGAGTATAGAGCTGGTCCAGTGTTCCGCGACCGGGACGAAAACCACACTGCTCCTCCTGGATCCGAGATTCGACCATCGGCCGTAACCTCCTCTCCAGTACCTTGGAGTAGACCTTACCGGGGAGGCTGAGGAGTGTGATCCCACGATAATTGGAACACACCCTCCGGTCCCCCTTCTTGTAGAGAGGGACCACCACCCCGGTCTGCCACTCCATTGGCACTGCCCCCGATCGCCACGCGATGTTGCAGAGACGTGTCAGCTAAGACAGTCCTACAACATCCAGAGACTTTAGATAATCAGGGCGAATCTCATCCACACCCGGAGCCTTGCCACCATGGAGGCTACCAACCACCTTGGTGACCTCAGCCAGGGAGATGGATGTACCCGCCCCAACATCCTCAGCCTCTGCCTCTGTAACAGAGGACGTGACGGGGGGATTGAGGAGAACCTCAAAGTATTCCTTCCACCGCCCGACAATATCCCCAGTCGAGGTCAGCAGCTCTCCACCCGCGCCGTACATGGTGTTGGCAAAGAACTGCTTCCCCCTCCTGAGGCGCCGGATGGTTTGCCAGAATCTCTTCGAGGCCGACCGATAGTCCTGCTCCATGGACTCTCCGAACTCCTCCCAGTCCCGGGTTTTTGCATCTGCAACAGCCCGGGCCGCGGCACGCTTGGCCTGCCGGTACTGGACAGCTGCCTCAGGAGTCCCCCGAACCATCATGGCTCGATAGGACTCCTTCTTCAGCCTGACAGCATCCCTTACTGCCGGTGTCCACCACCGGGTTCGGGGGTTGCCGCCGGGACCAGCACCAGAGACCTTGCGACCACAGCTACGAGCCGCCGCATCGGCGATTGAGGCAGAGAACATGGTCCACTCGGACTCCATGTCCCCCTCCTCCGCCGGGACCTGGGAGAAACTCTCCCGGAGGTGTGAGTTGAAAGTCCGTCTGACAGGGGGCTCAGCGAGACGTTCCCAGCAGACCCTCACTATACGCTTGGGTCTGCCAGGTCTGACCGGCTTCTTCACCTGCCAGCGGATCCAACTCACGACCAGGTGATGATCGGTTGACAGCTCCGCCCCTCTCTTTACCCGAGTGTCCGAGACACGCGGTCAAAGGTCAGATGATACGACAACAAAGTCGATCATCGACCTCCGGCCTAGGGTGTCCTGGTGCCACGTGCACTGGTGGACACCCTTGTGCTCGAACATGGTGCTCGTGATGGACAAACCGTGACTGGCACAGAAGTCCAACAACTGGGCACCGCTCGGGTTCAGATCAGGGGGGCCGTTCTTCCCGATCACCCCTCTCCAAGTGTCACTGGCGTTTCCCACATGGGCGTTGAAGTCCCCCAGGAGAATAACGGAGTCCCCGGGCGGTGCACCGTCCAGTACCCCTCCCAAGGACTCCAAGAAGGCCGGGTACTCTGCACTGCTGTTAGGCCCGTAGGCCGTCACAACAGTGAGAGACTTGTCCCCCACCCGAAGGCGGAGGGACGCGACCCTCTCATTCACCGGGGAGAACTCCAACACGTGGCGGCTGAGATGGGGGGCAATGAGAATGGCCACCCCAGCTCGCCGCCTCTCCCCGCGGGAAACTCCAGAAAAGTGGAGCGTCCAACCCCTCTCAAGGAGTTGGGTTCCAGAGCCCAAGCTGTGTGTGGAGGTGAGGCCGACTATCTCTAGTCGGTATCGCTCAACCTCCCCCACGAGCTCGGGCTCCTTCCCCCCCAGTGAGGTGACGTTCCACGTCCCAAGAGCCAGATGTTGTGTGTGCGGACTGGGTCGCCGAGGTCTCCGCCTTCGACTGCCGCCCAGTCCTCTCAGCACCGCTTCACCACGGACCCCTCTGCAGGTGGTGGGCCCACAGGAGGGACTGCCCACGTCATCCCTTCGGGCTGAGCCCGGCCGGGCCCCGTGGGCTAAGGCCCGGCCACCAGGCGCTCGCATACGGGCCCCGACCCCAGGCCTGGCTCCAGGGTGGGGCCCCGGCTCTAACGCCAATAATAGAACCAAAATATTTTGAGAGCTCAGAACTACTTAGATGGATGCTTTTACAAAGTAAAACATTTTGTGTGATTTGAAAATTAGGTACCCCAGCTTTAATTCAGACTGAAATATAAAACCACAATGATTTATGTGTCTCAATTTTTGGAATAACTATTTTGTAAACTATTGTTTTTCAACGGTTCTTGTTTAAATTATAAATATTTTTATAGTAGAGAAAACACTCCCACCAAATATGAGGGAACATCCACCATGGTTTATGTCTCATTTAGTAAAACAAATCTCTTACACACAGACCTACAGACGCACAGAGACACACTATCTGACCTTACCTAACTGTCTGGTGGACAAAGTGGTCGGGGTCTTGCGCAGAGAAGGCGGTCAGGGCGGTCCCAGCGGGCACGCCCTCCTCAAAGCGAATCATCTTGGGGTTTATGGGGAACACAGGCGGCTCGTTCACGTCCTGGATGGAGATGGTCACTCCTGCGGTGGACTGCAGAGACGACTGGATGCCACTGGCCAAATGGGCCTGGTTGGACACTACCACGGTCAGCATGAAGGCTCGGTTCATCTCGAAGTCCACCGGCTGGACACAAGAAAGTTATTCAGCATAAAAGGGGAAAAGATTTGGGATTTCTGTGCATGTTGTTTTCAAAGCTTGACTGGTTGATTTAAATGGCAGATTTTTGAAATATACAGATGTCCATGATCTGTGTGTCAAATTGCTTGACTTAGCTGTACTGGCCTGAACTATTGTGAATAGATATTTCCGTTGGTGATTAAGAGATCCTTTATTCATCCCACAGTGGGGATGTTCAGTGTTGCATCACCCGTTACAGAACAGTAGGAATGAGCACACAGCAAAAGGTAAACAAACTCTACTAATTAAAATAACATCAAATAAAATGTCTAGCTTTCGTATAATAAGGAAGCCATTTATTATATTCTATCTATTATAAGAAGCAAGAATTAATGGTATATAGGAGGATTTTCTACTTTCTGGTGGATCATCAAGTCCTCCCAATTGACAATCATTCTGGTGATACATGATCATCAAACAAGACCAGAGAGTTTTGTTCAAAAAGAAAATCCTCCTATCTACCTTTAAGTACAAAATCTTGTGTTTTAGCATAATAAAGAAGCAAGTATAATCTTGTATATTCTAGTACAGAAATCGTGGTACTTACTTTGACCACGGTGAGCATGCCCTCGTTGGTGACCGGGTTGGTGCGGATGGTGAAGTGGCCGGACGGGTCGCCGCTGACGATGCGATACACGGCGTTCCAGTTGGGGCTGTGGGGCTGGTCCCGGTCCAACACAGTCAAGTTGGTCACCACCACATTCACCTTGTTCTCCGGCACCTCCCCTGAAAACTGCACCAGGACAGATAATAATGAGCATGGTGAGACTTTAATAATGAAGCAGTAAGCTAACAGGCCTAATGAACCTCTAGTAACATGATTTATGCCCATGTTCAATCTTAATCGATATTTCTGCATTTTTTGTAATTGTCTGTCGTTAAAACTAACTGCACTGAGGTCAGAGGTACACCACTTATTACATGAAATTAGTGTAAATTAGAGAGTTGCGTCTGCCATTATGTTAATGCGGTCATGCCTGTTCATAAGAAACTCAACCAATGGATTTGTTCAATTAGTGTTTACCCATTTAATGTGAAATTTGTTCATTTCTCAAATCTGGGTTTTAATATGCAATTAGATACGACCTGTTAATTAAGCAACATTTGCAATAATATTTGCCTAATGAGCTTCATTAAATTGCAGTGTAATTAAGTAATCCTTCATCCTAATCTCCTGTCACCTGTCTGTCTGTTTCTATCAGTCCATGTCTCTCAGTCAGATCACCATCCCCCAGTGTGTCCTCTCCAGCAGCGCAACACGCCTCAGCCTTTCTTCTCTTCCCCCCATTGGCCCACAAGACATCTTCTCAGTTTTCTCTATTCAAAATATATATTTATCAAAATAAAATCCATGCATATGTGAATATCGCAAAACAAAAAAATCTGAAAAAATCAACATACGTATATATAGATATATATATAGATATATAAAAAATGTTCTTTGATTATTCTTACAACACCCTACATGAGCATGTAGAGCAGATTTTTTGAAAATCAATCTTGAAAGATAAATGCACCAATAATGTTAACCCTCGATTATGCAAGTTCAAAGGTTAGAGCAAAAGAAGCATGACTTTTTAGTTTAATGCATGAACTAATGTTCCAATAACCCAAAGAAGTAAATATGCTACATAGCCAAATGTTGACATTAAATGCTAATATCCAGAAATGTTTTTTTTTTTTTGTATTACCCATCCCACCAAAAAATAGCACAGACAATATTTTTATGTCTGGGTTTCTACTTGTTTAATGATGTATTTTTGTTAAAATGTGGTGGAGCATTAGATGACAGAATCCTGTGGAATGGAAATGTCCCTGTATCTAGAGACGTATATCAACAGGCTCTGAGAGATACCCAGTCCAATACTCAGGATCCCAGTGATACCATTTAATGACTTTTTTGTTCTGGAAAGACAAACCCCCACATCACCATTACATCCAAGTTTATCCAACTCCGGTGAAAGGATCTATTGAGGTGAAGTTCCAAAAGAAGACTCTCAAACAGAACATGCAGCCCGGCGCCGCACACACGCCTGAGATGATAATCCAGTTTTATGAGGCATGGTTTTGGCAGCTGCAGCCTTCTTTAATGGCTTCATCGTGGCTGGATTGAAGCAGCATCCAAAGCCCAGCCTGTTCTTCCCTCTCTTCTTCCCCCAGCAGTACAAGCAGACCCGATAAGCACAGAACAAATTAAATATGCACTCTCTCTCTCGTGTGTGGGCTGCTCCATTTCATTTACAAACCCCAAAGCTTCCACCACAAACTGTTGGTGTTTGTTTGCCACGCTGTCAGACTGGGATAGACTGCTCTCTGGGGGCGTAGACACAGAGCGTGAATGTGAGGGACAGTTCTTTCAAATGGACTGGCAATGTGGACTCATTGATAATCCTCAAGTGAGAAAAAAAGGAATAAATGTGTTCTATATCTGTATTGTCATGTCCACAGTTTGATCCCAATGGGTGTTTTCCTGGTTAAATAAAGTTTAATTTAAAAACATGTATTTCAAACTGCTGCTGTTGAATTTCAACCAAACTGGCAACACAATTGAGAACCTCATTCTGCAGTGGACATGAATAACTGTAGACATGAATATATTTACATCATATCCGTTGTATAGTGACGCCTATTTTCCCCGTTGAAATTTATGTGTGATCACCTCGGACCTTTTCAAAATGGCTGCTGCTGGAAAATGATGAAAAAACACTTTCAGAATCAGAAAGGCTGATTCATTTGCGTTAGCTGGCACGAGCCTGACACTTAACCCGTTTATTCCACAGTGGCTAAACTAGGCTGGTCCAAAAAAAATTCTCCCCTCAGCATTGACACAAATGTGGAACATGCTGTAAAGCTGTTTTTGAGAGGAAAAAATGTGCCATAAGAATGCATTGGATGATTCCATTTTTGTCCATAAAAGGTCAAATAAGATTTTTACACATGACCTGTTATCTGGCAACACACACAATATTTAGATGTATTTTACAATGAGATGTTTTATTTATTCATTATTCTATAATATAGAACTATTCAGGTTGTTCTATATCCTGTATGAATTAAATATCTGATTTTTTGGTGTGTGATTTTAATCAAGTTTTGTGAAGCATTTTGAATTTATACAGTTTATTGTATAAACTGTTCTATGCAAACAAACATAAAATAACGTAAAAATTAAAACTTACATATTTTTACAATTTCTTCATAACAAATTCCCACACATTTCAGAAAGGTTTCTAACCTGCAGCACAACAGTCTGAGTGCAACCTGAGAAGGCGGGAGGGCATTGGGACATTTTAAACTCATACTCACACTTGAAGTAAGTCTTTCTAAACCCCTTTTCTCACAGAAATCTAACAGTCAAACCTGAATTGTGCAGCTTCAAAACAAGAGTGATTTTGTGCTCATCTTTAATCCCCTTTTTTGATTGCAAAGAACTTGAATAATAGCATTCTCTGTGATTTTCTTTTTGCTCTGAAATTCACAATATCCATTTTGATTTCCATTAATTATGCAGCCCTAGTGGAAAAAGACAAATGAATAAGTTTGGTAGGTTTCAAATATTGTCGTAATTGTTTAAAACAAAAACAATCTCCCTTTGTGTTGATAAACGCTCCGGAGCCTTCATCGCAATCTTTCTATTAAATTTCCTTTTAAAAGCTTGGAGATAATATTATTAAAGTATATATATATAACCTCAAATAAACAAAGCGCTCGGTGCTTTCGGAGCCAGCAGACGGTGCATAATTATATGCATGAATGCTGCCGTTCAAATGCCATAAATAAAGTTAAACAAAAATCATGCCGTAAATAATAAACACAGAGAGAAATCTTCTGTTTCAGTGGCTGGTCATTTTACTAAGAAATATTACAGCAGGAATTCCTAATACTTCCTACTTCTATTTGATTGATATAATAATAACAATAACAATACACACACATAATACAATAACAATAGTAGGAACAATACATTATAAATACTAAAAAAAAATTATAATAAAAATACAAATAACAAAATGTCATTAGTAACATAATAATACTACAATAAGAATATAATAATAATACTAATAATCATCATTGTTGTCATCATCACCATCATCATTTTGTCATTGTAATGTAAAAAGGAGAAAAAAAGCCCTTGTAAATATGAAGGACAAGTGGAAATATATTTAAACATACAAACAAATACTATGCATGTGACATCACTGCATCATGGCTGACACTGCCGACTTCTTTCCTCATTTCAGTTCATCAGTGTGATCCATTGTGCCAAAGTGGTTACATTGCATTGAGCACCACAGCAGGGGCCTTGTTACCGACGCCAAATGAGAACATTGTGCACCTCAATGGAACAAAATGATTTTCTCAAACACAACAGCAGATTCAGATGGCGGCATTACAAGCAGGAAATGTCCCTAAACAGAGCCAGGCTGCTGTGGCGCAAACATCAGTCCACTTATCACCGCTCTTATGTCTTCTCTATGATGCAATAAAGTTACAGCCGGGGGCAGCAGGCGCTCGTTCCCAGCCTCATGTTTTATACTTCAAAACAGTGCGGCGCTGCTTCTTTTTTCAGTGAACCATCCTGAAGGCAAACCAGAGATGCCAGTTTCTTATTACTTTCAAATAATATGAAAATTATATGAGTTATTTTTGAAGGCGAATTTGAATATGTCAGATGGTATTATAGGCACAATGATAAAACGCAAAGGAGCACAGGGACTGGTCTCCTGCTATGACGCTGAGGAGCACAGGGACTGGTCTCCTGCTGTGACGCTGAGGAGCACAGGGACTGGTCTCCTGCTGTGACGCTGAGGAGCACAGGGACTGGTCTCCTGCTGTGACGCTGAGGAGCACAGGGACTGGTCTCCTGCTGTGACGCTGAGGAGCACAAGGACTGGTCTCCTGCTGTGACGCTGAGGAGCACAGGGACTGGTCTCCTGCTGTGACGCTGAGGAGCACAGGGACTGGTCTCCTGCTGTGACGCTGAGGAGCACAGGGACTGGTCTCCTGCTGTGACGCTGAGGAGCACAGGGACTGGTCTCCTGCTGTGACGCTGAGGAGCACAAGGACTGGTCTCCTGCTGTGACGCTGAGGAGCACAGGGACTGGTCTCCTGCTGTGACGCTGAGGAGCACAGGGACTGGTCTCCTGCTGTGACGCTGAGGAGCACAGGGACTGGTCTCCTGCTGTGACGCTGAGGAGCACAGGGACTGGTCTCCTGCTGTGACGCTGAGGAGCACAGGGACTGGTCTCCTGCTGTGACGCTGAGGAGCACAGGGACTGGTCTCCTGCTGGGAAGCTGACGAGCACAGGGACTTGTGATGGAGAGTCTACAATTTTCCTGAAATTGTGAAATTGTGAAGCAAGCTTCTCTGAGTCACATTCAAAGGGAAAAACGAGATTGATTACATATGTTTTTTATATTTTTTAGATTGTAAAGTAATTTTAGAACACATTCACACTTGGTTGGTCTGGTTCACTTTTGGGTAAAGTATTTGTTATTTGTGGATGTAAAACCACCAGACAAAGTCACATAAGTCTGTTTATATATTTTCAAACAAACCTGTGAAGCATTTTTCCCCAAGTGAACCAGACCTTCAGATTCAAATTCACTTTATTTGCCATTTGCAGTAAAACCACATTGGAATACAATTACAAAAGTCCCCAGTGTGCACAAGACAAGAACATAAATAAAACAAGGTTAAAAGTACAGCACTAAAACAAACAAAACAGGAAACAAATGATCCAGTTTAAGTAAAACATGACCATTGCTTTTACATTTTAGCAGGTATTTCAACATTTTGTGAAGCCCTTCGTATTTCTTTGTGCACAACTTTTTCTACAAAATTAAACTTTGACTGATCGATTCAAAAGAACTTGCCAACCAGTGGGGTCTGTTTATTCCTCTGTGAGCCAGCGGAAGCATTCAACCTGCCACTTGTAGATAAGAGCGTGCCTGATGAAGACACAAGACCTATGCCAGCTCGAGTTAGCTCCTATAAATGTCCACAGAGGAATCTAAAGTGCTGAACGTGCCAGAGATATTCTCATGTTCTGAAGGAGTTCAGGAGCTCCCAATATAAAGTGCAGGGGACTAGATGCTCCTTGCCGTTTTCTCATTGACAAGTCATTGGAAAGCCACCAACATGAACGCTCTTGTCGAGTGAGACCACATCCAGTCTGCTTCTTTTTATCACAAACACAGCGTTAACATTATTCGTTAGGGCCCATAGGGGGATGAATAAAACATGTCGCTGCTTTTTTCAAATTAGCAGCAGTGTATCAGCTTGGTTGACGCCCCCGCAAGCAATTTCACTTAATTAACGCGCTTATGTTTTCTGAATGCTTCCCATGGAGAGCATCCCCGTGTCTGTCATACACAAATAATTACTGAGAGACGCGTTGGTTGTGTGGGAAGCGAAAACACAAAATAAAATAAAAAAAACGAGGGAGATTGACAAACAGCGAAGCCTTGTCGTTGCATTTTATAAACATGGATGTTGCGGGAAAACCCAAGATATGATTATTGTGGATGTGTTTTGCTCCGTGCTGAGGAAATAGGAGGATATAAACTAGCAGAGAGTGGCGGAACAGAAGAATTTTGTTGGAATTATTTATAGGATTTTCCCTTTCAGTTTGTGGCATTGAAGTCACCAAAAGTTTTGCCTTTCGTTCTGTATTTTATGTTGATATTATTAATAACAGGGCGACAGTAGCTCAGTTGGTAGAGCATTGGCCTTAAGGCCTGAAGGTCGTGGGTTCAATTCCCACCTCCTCTCTGACAATGTTTAAAACCAGGTTAAAGACGGTTCTGTTTAGCTGTGCATACAACTGAGGGATTTTATATTTTTATCTTTTTTTTTTTTATGTACTGTGATTATTTATGATTTTAATGCTTTCTTGTTCTGTTCAGCACTTTGAATTGCCTTGTGTATGAATTGTGCTATACAAATAAACTTGCCTTGCCTTGCCTTGCCTCTACACCTTCCCCACCGACTCCCACTGATGACTGCTGTCGTTGTGTCCTTGGGCAAGACACTTAACCCTACTTTGCCCAAAAAGCCCCCACTGTAAGATCAAGGCCGCTCAGAGAGCAGCCGTCCTCCTGTGGACTCACCACCTGCAGAGGGTCAGTGAGGGGCTGGTGCTATGAGACTTGGGTGGCATCTCTGACTGCCACCCCCCTGACCCAGAAATGGATTAAAGGGTAGAAAGTGGATGGATGGATGGATTATTAATAACAATAATGCTGAGTGTTCTTCAGGACATTCAAAGACACTTAACATGTTATTATTCTTTCACTCCATACACAGTGGTGATAAACTTCTACTGTAGCCATAGCTGCCCTGAGCACACTGACAGGAGTGAGGCAACCAGTATGTGCCATCAGCCCCTCCAACCACCACCAGCCATTCACACACACACCAGACTCATTCAAGGCAATGTGGCAGTTTGGCACTTTACAGCCACAGCCGTCCCACTGAGACACCTGGTGTTCCCAGTTTGGGGTAGATACTGCTATTGTGTGGGCTTTTATATGTATTATTTTGTTGTAAATTAATATGCTTTGTAAATTAATATGCTGTGAAATTTTTGGCTCTAAATATTAAAATTAAATCAAATCAATAAATAATTAAATTTCCGCTGCATGCAGAGTGATGCATTCAAACGATCATAACATCTTGCACTTTATGTTGGCCAGCTGTTGGAGCAACTTACACAAGTTTTCAAAATCCTTTATTTCCAATTTCTACTTTCCAAACACGCTTCTCGAAGCCTCCGAGGCAAGTCTATTTTCTAACGTGTAACCTATTTAATCAGAACGTCTGCGAGTGCCAACTGCGGGGTGTGTCAACATTCAAAGACGCACACAGGTGCAGAGAAAACTAAAAGATGATTTGAACATATTTCCAAAATATTGCCAGGTGGGGATTATGATAGGAATGTCACGCCAAAATCCTTGTAAATAATGCCAAAACATGTTCCAGAACCCTGTCTTCTGCGAATGCTATGTTGACTGGCTATGCCTTCTTGATTGAAAATTAAATAAAATATATATACATTGGTGCCCATCAAATGACATCATTCGGACCACTGGGTAAACCCACACGCCAGGGCATAAAGCAGAGGGCGCATTTCAATTTGGAGAGACGAGAAAACAGGAAGTTTTGAGTATTTTATTGAAAGGAGGTTTGGCGCCCTAGGTCCCGGTGCGTCCTTCAGATCGGAAAGGCTCCTGCGATGGAGCGCGCACAATCCCCCGGGACTTAGGCACTGGTGGCGGCATTTGGCAGCGGGAAGCAGATTGAAGGCAGATTGGAGGCAGGGTGAAGAGGAGGAGGAGGGGAGGCGGTGGTTGCAAGGCTTCAGAGGCCGAGAGTGGGAGTTTCTCCGTTTTTATGCGGCTGGCGAGTCGGTACAGATGATCGGAAGGGGGCGTCTGCTGAGCGATAGGCTGGGGATGCGAGCCGGCCTGGAGGGGGTAATTTTGGTTAACGTCTACCAAATTGAATTTTCGCTGGCTGCATTTCAATTTGGAGAGACGAGAAAACAGGAAGTTTTGAGTATTTTATTGAAAGGAGGTTTGGCGCCCTAGGTCCCGGTGCGGCCTTCAGATCGGAGAGGCTCCTGCGATGGAGCGCGCACAATCCCCAAAAAGGCTGCGTGTTGATGGAGTTTTCGAAGCCTGGTTTGGAGGGGACAGACGTCGTGACTACTCTATTCTGTGACCGCTATCGCTAAGCTGTGACCGCTATCGCTATGCTGTGACCGCTATCGCTATATGCTGTGACCGCTATCGCTATATGCTGTGACCGCTATCGCTATATGCTGTGACCGCTATCGCTATATGCTGTGACCGCTATCGCTATATATATACATTGGTGCCCATCAAGTGACATCATTCGGACCACTGGGTAAACCCACACGCCAGGGCATAAAGCAGAGGGCGCATTTCAAAGCAGTTTCCAATAACATTTCACATAAAAGACAGCATTTGAGATTCCAGCCACACATTCAGCGAGGGAGAAAGTGCACTGGCCGCTGTCAGACCCCTATGGAGCCGAGACAGTCCCAAGCTTGTGCAAATTCTCGGCCCAATTTCTGAACTTTTATTACGTGGTGCATGTTTCTTCTGACCTTCCTGCGCCGTTTCTCTTCAAGCTCACGTTGAGGTTGTTAACAGCTTGTCGTCAATGTTTCAAAACTCTCACTTACTGCAGAGTCTCTTGTATGTAACGAGAGACTGTGTGGAATGTTGAGAGCGCAGAAACTTCAAAGTCAACTCAGCTCTGAGAGTCAATCAGACTCGAGTGGAAATAATGTCACAATCAGCTTTGTCTGTCATTTCCGTTAAGTACATTTTAACGCACAGATTTAAAGTATTTAGGAGTCTGGATCGCTTAAAGGGACATGGAGCTGCAAAGAGACCGCCCATCGAGTTTCAGGAAGTAAAAAATGTAGAAAATGTATTGGGTATTTTGTCTTTATTACATTTGTCTTTACTGTTTGTTTTTATATTATACAAAGATATGATATGTCTCATTACTCACCAGAAAGCTGATTCTCCCCAAACATGATTTTTCAAACTTATTAATAAGAATCGCGAACTATGCAAACCTTGAGCCACGCCCACTTGTAAACTATACTTATCTTCTGTCAAGCTCCACCACATTTTCTCTATTTTACTTTACTGTATACTGTACATTTGTGGGTTTAAATGTAGTGACAGTTTGTGAGTTGCCGCCTTGCTACGTCATCCTTCTCTGCTCTCCTAACACAACATGAGAGTGCGTTTGTGTTTCTGAAGAAAGAACACATTTAACAAAATGTGGTACATGAACCAACATTTAGGGAAATAGTATTCTTCCTGTACGTCCACAAACCTGTAACATAAATGTCGGATTGGAGTTATACTTACAGTTCTGACAGTTAGCTCTGGAGGATTATCGTTGATGTCAGTGATGGAGATCAGAGCAGTCGCAGTGTTGGATAAACCAAAGTTCAGGTTTCCCTCCATGTCTGTGGCCTGGACGATGATGGTGTACTGGGAGACTTTCTGTGAACAAAGACGCATGAATTACAATTACAACATAAGCAAGACTGGCAAATGATTATGAAAGTCACAACTGTAGAAAACTGTGAACACAAAGAAAGAAAGCAGAGAAGATTAAACTCCACATGGTACAGGCTCCACAGGGCTATGTCCTTTCTCCTCTGCTCTTCTCGTTAAACATGTCTGAGTATGTCCATATGGCACTAAACTAAACTGGGTCACATGCCTGGTCTAATATAATTCTATTGGGGAAGAAAAATTCAAACCTGGGCACTACATTTGAGGTGTGAAAACCAGTCCTTTTGGTGGAACTGGAAGAAACTCGTTCTACTCGGTTTATGCTGGCATGGAACCACGTAACCTGGATACTACTGAGAGAATGCATGTGCCTTTAAGAGCACAGGGAAATGCCATGCTTATAGTGGACATATACTGTAGGTACCGGTAAATGGACGCTCGTCATCCTATACCGTTGCTGTGCTCCCATTGGTTGGAACACATACTGTACATGTTTCTGTGTACATGCATGAGAGCAACATGAACGAGCACCGTCCACAGTGAACTCGGATTGGTCAGAACTCTCACGTGTAATTCTGGTTCTGCGGAAGTAGAACCACAGCAGAGGTTTTCCCAGGACCATAGCAGGCCAAAACGCTTCACTTCTGCTACTATTTGGGACATCCATGGTGTGAGCATGCACCAATGAGCATAGGCCATGGATTTGAAAGAAATACATTGTGGACACCTGGGGCTTGTAAATTAAATCCTTTACATTGCATGGGTGTCATTCTTACATTTGGAAAGAAAAACAATTCAAGTCCTTTATAAGGATTGCTTATGGGGTTACAGACAAAGTATGTTTACCCTTCATACTGGCTTCAGCATACGTATATTTTCTACATGTATCATTATCTCACATATAACATGTAATGAAAAGAAAGGAAATAGGCTCATTATCGTTTTAATGGCCAGAAATAATACATATTATTTCTTGTTTGTAGGGGCATACAGTATGTGAGATTTCATATTGTAGCAGCAGCATCACATGTTTTGATGGCAACATGTCATGGATGCAGACTGTTCAAATCCCCGTCATGACAATTGGGTTTTTTCTCTCCTAGCTCTCTGGTGCAAACTGTTATCAACTTTCTTTTCCCCCAAAATAGCGTACTTTTAATGGATGTGAATGTAGTTGTGATTATTGCTAGAAGTAGAGATCAAGACCAAAAAGTGGTTGTGGTAGACACTGCAGAATCGTGTCACTTCATTCACGATTAGAGGATTTTGGAACCACAGCATAGAAGATAAAAGATGGTGAGTATACGGTGTAATCTGTTTACACTGAGAGATAATGAGAGTAGTGACTGTGCATTCACATTGAAGATTGGGGCTCTATAGACTGTTGATTCATGGATTACAGACACAGGGCAGTTGACATTTCTGCGCGGGGCTGAAGGGTGCAGTGGGAGTCTTACCACCAACACAAAACACGTATGTTGTATTACAGGTTACAAATGTACATTCTTTGGTTCAGCATTAACTCTTTTCCCTCAGGTTCTTCTCCATAATGTTTGTGTCTTATATTTGCCAAACGAGGCAAATAAGGATGAGAAGTGAGGCAAAAATAGCATGTACTGTATTACAACCAGTGCATTTTATCAGTTTTTAAAGAAGATTTGACTTCAGATCAAGCAAAAATGTATCGTTTTATAAGAAACAATAAGAGCAATTGCTCTCTTGAAATGAGAAGAAAATGCCACCGCCCTTGCTTTTGCATAGGATAATCTTGTTTAAACAGTTTTTATCCACAAGCTGTTATCAGTTTGAACAGAGCACTTTAATGATTTGCACTTGTTTTGAAACTGTTTTAGTCGATCGATTTCACAGTGACATTTGTTTACTGTTTTATTTGTTTTATTTTTGTCTTTTAATGTTGTTTTATGTCTGTATTTGTCTGTGCACACTGGAGACTTTTGCTAATGTATTCCAATGTGTTTTTTTTTTACTGCAAATGGCAAATAAACTGAATCTGAATCTGAATCTAAAGACTATAAATTATCAAATATTTTTGGCCATTGAAATGATAATGAGAAAAATTACCTAGATTCATGTTTTAAATTGTGAATTATTATTGAAAGTAGAAAAAATATAGTGAAACAAGCTCCCATGGTAATGCTACCACCAGAGGCACGGGTAAAATGTGTAATTTTTTTTCCCAAATTTGAAAAATACCGGCAGCATCCACATCCATGTGATTGTGTGAGTTGCCAAAACCAACAGTCAATATCTGAAGGTGAGTGCTGCAGAGGGTACGAGTGTAGAAGGCTTAACAAACAGGTGCTCCTCAAAGACAGGGCAATCTAAGCAGATTTAGGATGTCGAAGAGAGAAAGAGGTCTGAGGCACTCTGTTGAAGTGAAAAAATAAAAGTCCTTTAGTTCATGCCCTGACGAAGACCGCTTTTGGTCGAAACACGTAGGCGTAGTCCATTTTAATAAAGGACTTTTATTTTTTCACTTCAACAGAGTTCCTCAGACTTCTTTTTCTCTCTTAGGCAATATCTGTTATTCTAAAAGTTCCTAATATCAGCGTGGCTGGATCTAAAAACCGCTTCAGGTGTGTTTTAGATGAGCGGACACACATGGAGAAAAGCTCAAAAACGTGCAAAAAATGTTGCATAATATGTCTCTTTTAAGAACAACAACATTTACTTAAATCAAAAAAATGATTTGATTAAAATGTATACATTTAAATCACAACAGCTTGTGTGTAATTACAACGCAGCACGATTACACTGTTTAACCTTTTAAAATAATATAATCTTGTTTGTTTGTTTATCAATTTACATTTAAAGTCACGCCTTGGCTACCACACAATTCTGTTGCAGTGGTTGGAAAAGTGATAATGTCCTTGATTATTTTATCTTTTAGCAGCTTCTATTCAGACACTTTTGACGCAGCTTTAATCCAGTGCAACAGTGGTGTGTCTATGTGTTCATTCATGCTAACAATGTAAGCCTCTTGCTCTGTCTTAATCCACTTGTCTCATTATGTCCGTGTTTAGGGAGACGCAGAAACACTGGGAATGGGTGTCAAGGACAGGCCAATGTTCAGAGCATTTAATCGTTCACACAGAAAACACCATTTACTCTTTACAAGGAGGAGGCTCATGTGACTAGAAAAATCATTAATCATGGGAAAACTAAGGCGTGTGATTGCAGAGAATATACATGGGTATTGATTGCACTGGCTGGGCGTGAGGGTTTGGTGTCTCCTATTGGCACGTTCAATTTCTGTTTTAAAGGAGACATACTATGCTTTTAACCATGTTTGTTTCATAATCAGAAACAGACCTGGAGTTGTGCTTAGATCCATCAACACCAATGTTTGGAACTTCTGACGCAATCATGTAGCTCCGCCCCTTCTGTGTAAAAGCTTCTGACAGTTATAGCCGCAAAGCATTTTCATACTTGCTTCACTATATACAGTATGTCCTACATAAGATATTACTTCACATTGTAAAACATGAAATTGCAGAGGAAATCGTCTCATTAGTATTTTAATGGCCAACAAAAAAGTGTAATATTTCTCCTTCAAGGGATATGAATACAGTTTTATTTAATTAAATAGAAAACTAAGTAGAGTGCTTTACAGATGTTTCTACAGGTGTACACATACAAGTATATATTTCATGATCTAGAGTGTATGGAATTTTAAGTTTTGATTCTTTATTAAGTTTAAGATTGAGTTTATTTTTATGTTTTTTTTAAAAAAAGGAGCAGTGTGTAAAAAACTGTCCAAAAGTGGTACTGCAACCTCTCCCACTCTGCCTGACACAGGTTGCCATATATGCAGACAAATCCAGCTGGGACCATAATATCTGAATAGACAAGAGTTTTATCAACAACACACCTATAGCCAACAACTTTTTCACAAAGATAGAAATTCTAGTTTTAGTCCTTGTTTTGTCGTTCATGATTTGAGAATCAAAACGAGAGCTTTTTCAAGTCTGTGGCCACATGTTACTTAATCAGTGAGATTAGCTTGACGTGGTGAGTTCTGGCAATCCAAATATCCCGGCTGAACTACTGTTATCAGTTAAAGAAGTATTGGAAAAGAGCATGGTTTAATAATGCCTTTTGACGAATTAGGGCCATTTGATGATGACTTGACATGAAAATCTTACATATTGCTACTTTAAAGCTGCACTAACTGACTTTATTTTTGTATTCATTACGAAAATGCTATCCATGTCCATGTAGTGCATTGGGATATACATCATTTTGAAGAAAAAGTAGCGCAGATTTGTGCTGGCGTGACATATTTTAGATCGAGTTTTGATGAAACAAGGAAGAGAATGTGTTTCGGGTCGCGGATTGTGACCAATCACAGTGGACCACTAGCCCCCACTTTTGTGAGAAATCTACAGGTCTCCGTTAGCATAGACAGCTGAGTTAGCACAACAAGCGGAGCTAACCTGAAGCTTCATGTCTTCGTCACCGGTTACTGCTTACACAGCGAGACAGCCATCCAAAAGAAAGCCCCGTTCCTCCGCTCTTCCCGGTTCTATCGTTCTATGGTCACGCCATCCACGTGCAAATCCATGTCCATGTATTATCCATATTGGGAGACGCTAACTCCGTCCCAACAGTGGGTGTGTGTGTGGGGCGATAGCTTCGTGGGTGCGGGGAGGGGAGCAGAAAGAGAGAGGCCAGCGAGTCCGCGGCTTCAAAATCCCAAAGTCAGTTAGTGCAGCTTTAAGGACAGAGTTTTGCTACTTAATAATCACTTATCTTGTGTTGTGTGCTTCTCATTCCATACTGTTCTGTACCTTATGATACACATTTCCCCACTGTGGGACGAAAAAAGGATCTTGTAATCTTAAAATTGGTTGTGGTTTGCCATTGCAGAAACTGTCCCTTCATACATTAATGGTAGTGGAAATCACAGCATAAAGCATTTTAAGTTATATGAGGTTGAACCAGAAAATTTGCTTGGGGTGTGT